CAACCAGTTCTGCCAGTAAACTTGTGCACACAGTACAGCTGAAAAAAGCACCAGGCAAGTGCTTTAGAGTTAAAAAAATAGAACACTTGTAACATAGAGAGCATTAAAAGACATGACAAAGAGCTAAAATAAGATAAAGATATCCCTTCAAAAAAGTTCAGTTAAGCCCACCTCACACATGCACTACACGCCCAAAAGAATCCCCCAAAAGCTCCAAAAGTGTGGGTAAGCTGCATGTGTGAACACAATCTGAGACATTTTGTCATCCAGACTTCATCCTAAATGATTCTGCCAGTTCCCTTCTGAAGGGGGTAAGCACGTGTGAACAAAAGAGATAATATCCAGGAAGATTTGCTAAAAAAAAAAGCAAGAGGCGAGGTTTGATGATGTTTCGATTATGCAAACTTTGAGAAACTGGTGCACTCTTTGTGCCATAATGAAGCTGCTTCATACTCTTCTTGTTTGCACTCCAGTTACACGTAGCATTGATGGGGAAAGCTGTCAGGGGTACATGTGAAAGATAAAAACATTTTGTGGAGGTTAGGAAATGGCAGGGAATAGCAGCGAAGTTACAAAAACACAAATTTGATGGAGTTTCTAAATAAGATTTTGTTTATGAACACCAGGAAATACACCCTTGTTAACATTATCATGCAGTAGTTATCAATTAACTTATTTTTTGGAAGTTTTCAACTGAATTTTTTATAAACATTTGTATACAATTTCTATGTTTTTGCAGCGATGGACATGAAAGCAGTCAAGGAGGAAATTGCAGAAGAAGAGGACGATGATGTTCCAGGTGGGCAAAGATGATTATTGCTATAATTAACCTCTGCAAAATGAAACGAGGACAAGGAGCCTGCTTCTCAAACAAACCTGATGTATATTTTTTGTTTTCCGTTTCAGATCTGGTGGAAAACTTTGATGAAGCCTCAAAGAATGAAGCAAATTGATGAAGCCTTTTTTCCACCTCCATCAACCGTTTTAATGTTTACCTCTTACGTACCCACAAAGGGCCTTTCCTCTCGTGGGGTTGTTAAAAGGTGCAACAGGTCATCTCCAGAGACGTTGACACATCCGGCCTGTCACAACAGCACGCAGATCCAAAAGGTTTTGAGATATGTGTTGGCTATGATATCGTGGACACTCCAAAAAAGGACTCAAACTACTTTAGATTACAGGTTTCTACATGGTTAAACGTGGCTAGTATTTAAGAGATAGTTTATGAAATAACAAAAGTGAAGCTTGCTTTACTTATAGTGGTGATTTATGAATTTAATAAAGCAGTTTTGGGCTACTGATGTTTCTCTTTATTGCGTTTCTTCTCTGATTTGTTGTGGCCACTAAGAGGATACTTTGAGTTGAGAATATTGAATTCTAAATGTCTGCTTGAGGGAACACAGCTTAAGCCATGATTGAAGCCTTCATATGAAAAGTATTTGTAACGGGTGCTCATTTAATAAACGGATAAGCCTAAAAAAGCCCCACAGTGGAACTCCTCCTTTACACTTACATTCATGGATATCCGGGTTCTTGCGTAACACAATGCTCTGCAGGGTAAAATCACTTTCTTCTATAAACGAGCATGTTTACAATTCCTAAACTGTGTGTCGTTAAACAACAGTTAAGTTTCATATTTGTCTAAAATACATTTGCCTTTAGTACTGGTCCTGATAAAAATCTATAACATGCATTAGAGTACTAATGACAATAATTCAGTAAAGTACATCACATTTAAAGCTCCTGTAAGGAACTTCGAAGTTCACCACAGAACTTTAACACCCTGTGGACAAAGCAGGACTATTAGTCTCTTTACTGATCTTGTCTTTAACATTTTGAGGTGGTGTTATCTGATGAAAAATGTCATCCTACCGGTACTTTATTTTCAAATGTCTGATGTGCAACTCAATGCATCTTTCCCAAAATTACACAAAGGTTTTTTGTTTTTTGTTTTTTTGCCAGAGTGCTCCTCATCACCTCTGACACCTACCCGGCTGCAGCAGGTTCAGTCAAGAAGAATAACTGTGAAGTATCAGTTAATCTCTGCTAGTCTTGATTGTGTTTGTTAGTCATTAAAAAGTATACACATTCATTTTAGTCTGTGTCTTTGCCAGATAATATATTTTCACATGAGCTTAGAGTACAGCCCTACTGCAAATCAGGTCCAGTTTGGGTTTTCTTGTTTAAGTAGAACTGTGGACTATGCTGTTACAATCTAACAAATGACTTTAGCATTTATCTTTAATATTATTTTGTTGCCTTACAGTAAAGTTACTGCCTTGGTTTTAAATGAAGGCTCTAAAACATGTTTTTATTTATTACTAATTCAGATAGGCTAATGAAAATAGTTTTGTACTTAATGTTCATCACCAATGCGTCTGTAGAGAAGGAGGGGTTAACAGAGTTTGGGTGGGTTGAACACATCCCTACATCCCCTCTAACGCTGTCACATCCCGTTTCATTGATCACCTCTGACGCTGCTCTGCTGCATCGTGCTGATCAATGGGCCGCTGCTGTCATTCTCCGCAAAGCGTGAGAGGTCTGACAAGGTTATCGGGGGGCGTAGGGAGGGAGGGGGGAGGGTTGTGACTGTGCCATTTTGGCTCAAGTGTGTCGTGCCTTGAGCGGGACGGAGCTGCAGACCCGCCCCGGGGGCTCAGCACACCACCCTCGGCCAGGTTTGAGCCAAAATGTCCCTGCTGCTGCGGCTGGATCGCGGTGCAGGAGCGAGATGAACTTCGTCAAGGTACACAGTGAAAACTGCAACCAAAACAGGATGTGAGCGTTGTCGACTTGAAAATACAAGCTCACATATTAAACTTTAAAATAGACTTTGTTCAACCCCTGAAATTCATTTTATTGTTGGATGCTAAATACACTTAAGCCAGAAATAAACACACACACACACACACACACACACACACACAAGCACAATCAGGCTGCACTAATGGAAAGTTATTAGAGTCTAACCTAAGATAAGATAGGTTTTTGAGAAATACACAAATTCTGATATTTAATGGACAAAACCCATCACACACCTCACTGTGACTCCTTTCAGCACAGCAAAGGTCAAATATTCAAATGAAATAATGATAAGCAAATCACATTTATTTTAGAGGAAGAGTGCTGTTGTTACTTAAATTAAATTATATACCAGAGTTGTGAGGCTGTGTAGTCCCCTTCTCTGATTCTCTTCCTAAAGGTTCCCCTATTTTTTTCCATTGTTAGAGTTGTTTTTTGGCCAGCTATTAAATGTTTTCACATGCTCTTAACAGTTACAGAGTATTAGTAGAATGGCTTTAACCCCAATGAAAGTAAAACAGGCACCTTCATAGGGAGACTCTATGGTGACAGTTATAAATAAAAAAATCCATACAACAACGCAATAGTAATAAATAACTGTGAGACAGTCAAGTGTGGCCACAAGATAATTATGTGCTAGCAACAAGATAATGACTCATGGTCACATCTGACAGGATGATTGGACACTTTGATAACTTTGTTTATGTTGAATACCAGCAACACCTAAATGACTGCTACAAGTTGTTTCACTCTTGTCTTCAGGATGCAATATATACTTACATATATATACATCTAGCCCCCCGCATCAAAAGGGGGGTATAAACATCGGGCCTGGGTTAATTTTCTCATGGCCATGCATTATAATCTCCTGGTCATGCATTGCTATCTCTTAATCAAGAATTATCATCGCCTAGCCATGCATTATTTTTTATTTTATTATGTCATCAGAGGGTTTCCTTAGACACTTGACTAGACAGACGTTTAAAAATAGGATTTTGTATACAAAGCAAAGACAGATACCTGGCTGGAATATTACTGGTGGCATCAAAGAAAGCTATAACAAGAAAGTGGTGTAAGGAGGACCCCCCCCCACACACACACACACACACACACACACACACACACACACACACACACACACACACACACACACACTCACACTCACACACACTCACACTCACACACACTCACACACACACACTTGGAGAAACTGGTTGGACATTGTTGAAAAACGACATGATATGGAGAACTTTACACACAATTTAAGACTACAACAATCTGCATTCCAAGGAAAATGGACAAAGGTTATGACTTCAAAACCTATCACAAAGTCTGAAGAGAATTGATTGATTGATTACATTTATTTCAGACATATCAAATAAAATCAAACATATCAAAAACACAAAACAAAATGAAAAGCATGAAAATACAATAAACAAAAAACAATGTTCAAATTATTTCACAAAAAAAGAAAAAAAAAATTACATATATTTAATTGGTATGCCTGAAAAGGAGTAGGAAGAAGTATAAAACTTATTTATTTACCCCTTTTCCACAGCTCAATAATTAATATTTATTAAATTAAATTCCTGTGTTCCTTATAATCTCTCTATATATACAATCTATCTATATACAATTTGCTATACTATATTTATTATGATACTATATTTGATATTTACAATCCAATGATTTTCCAAACATATATACAACTTTTTGATATACTATGATTTTTTATAATTTTTTATAATTTATATATTTATACAATCCATCTATTTGTACAATTTGATGTACTATATTTACTTTTTATATATTTATACAATCCTTATAGCTATACAGTTTGTTACAGTATGTTTACAATTATACATTTGATACAATCTATATATATATATATATATATATATATATATATATATATATATATATATACACAATTTGATATAGGCTACTATATGTACAATTTACATATATAATACACATTAACATACACCTGTGTAGAATGGACTATTTAAAAGGAGACTATTGTTAACTGACAACAAAGTTTGTATACTGTGTTTATTTTGATGTATCCTTATTAAGTAATAGCAAAAAAAGGATTTTATTGTGAAAGGGTCAACAGGAAGTGGTGGAGTTTGATTCTGGTTGTCTTGCCGTTGCTTCGTATTTTTCCCAATATCAAACCTTAGGGGAGGGATCCTTGAGTTGCTGTCGCACAACTACGGCAGACTACAGTTTGTACTTTCCGACTGGCGTTGTTTGAGCGGACCAGGCAGCGCAGGGTCTCTTAACACCAAGGATATACTCAAAAATAGCTTTCCAAAAGGCGATTAGGCATGACGGATACTGACGACGGGGCTCCGCGGGACTCCACGTAGAGATGAGGATTCCTCCGGTGAATATCTGCATATTTGTTTTCATGACATTTCAACAAGCTCCGTTGTTGCTCTAGTCTTACACCCCGCCATTCCGACGGCCACAGAGTGAACTAATCCCAAGTCAGTGGTGGATGGGTGTTGTGGTATTGTATGGACTGTGTAGCTAGCTGCACGGCAGGGAATACCGCGGAGGTGGTGTTACGGTAATACTATTTTACACAACGCGTTAACGCTTTACGAGCTGCTGTAGATAAAACATTCACACCGCTGCCAGTGCGGCTGGAGGGGGGGAAGCTTCTCATCTGCTATGATAATTGGCCGAGTTAACCTTTTGAGGAGAAAGCTTCTTCTTTTTTTTTCTTTTTTTTTTTTACAACCCAGTATAACCATAGAAACCGGCCGTGAGCCTCCAGAGCACCACCGAGTCAGTGACGCTGCGTCTGCCCGTCACAGATGCAGGACGCTGCCGTCACTCGGCGAGCGACTCCCCGCTGCAGCTGCCTCACTCTCCCGATGCAGCATGCAGCTCCATTTTCAGCGTCTGCTGGTGCTGTTTATGTTCCCAACACGGTCATTCCTATTACCGTGTTCAGCTGATTATTATTGGAAACTTACTTGTGGCCTTTCCGAGGATGTTTGATGGTGAAATTCAGCTAGCAGTCCTGCTAACACAAATAAACCCAAGTTCTGGTGGAAAGACACCAAAACTTTTGTGTATTTATTTGCTTTTCCGGATTTATCAACACAGAGTAGTTTCCCGTGTGTTTAACCACTGTACCTGTGAATAAACATGAACCCTTCTGAGGCTTTGTTTGGCCTGTAAGGCAGCAGGCATAGCCACGGTGCCACTTAATGGGTTTTTATAATCCAAGCTAATGGTCATCTAGTTGCTCTTGAGAGTTTAGTTTTGTGAGGTGATGTCTTTTGCGTTTACCTCGTCATTTGGTCTCCTGGGCCTTTTTATTGAAGCTGTGGAAGGTGGATTTGTGCAGAAGTGGAGCCCAACCCAAATGCCACCTTGAATAGTCATCATCAGTGAGGAAAGAGAAAGGCAGATCACATTAAATAAAAAAAATAAAAACCTGCTGGAAAAGCTTCGACTTCTTCATCATGCCAGTGTTTTAATGTCTGGTATTGCTTTCCTTGGAATGTCAGACTGTAAACCCATAAGTGACATTAGACTTTACCTTGCAGCAGGAGATTTAGACGTCTCACTACATCTTCAAGTGGTATTAAAACCCAGGAGGCTTGATCGAGTTGACTGATCCAACAGGCTGCCCTGTGAAGGCGAGCTCTCGTGTGCAGAGACTTCCCAGATGTAGGTTACTGTATGCTTTCAGAAAGTATTAGTCTCTCCCTGACGACAGCCCAGAAGCTTGTCTCCTTTTGCAGTTTTCTCCTGTCTTGTGGTGGTTAAATGCAGATCAAAACATAAGGAAGAAAAGAGGATCATAATAGCATTTGACAGTCTCGCTGTGAAGCAGAGCAGCTCTTTGAAACATGAGGACAGCTACTTTCTTCTTTGCCTTTTTGTCTTCAAATCTCAGCAGTTACCTCCTTCAACCTCTCTTGTCAAACAATCTCTTTTTTTGTTTTGAAGAAGTGTGACCTTTTGGGGGGGATACAAACCTGTGGCATTGTTTTTAAATCTCTAGCACTTACTGGAATTACAATATCAGAAAACATACTTTTACTCCCAGACAGGGCGTGAGACATTACATTATCATGTGTCATTCAGTCATGCGATCATGTTGTGAGAAAGTGATGTCAGTCCATTCTTAAAGAGAGGAAGTGATCATTTGAGGTTTCCTGTGTTCACCCTGAGTAGACGGCGTCTGGAGCGTAGCGGTGTCGGACATGGATCTAAATAAAAATGGTGTTTGTCAGGATGTGAACTTGCTGTCCTGAAATGTTTTTGGGTTCAAAGAAAGGGAGGGGAAGGAACAGTGCAGACATTTTTAGTTAAGGCGCGGGTCCAATAAAACTTTCCTAGAGAGAACTAACCAGTCTTGAGGGTTTCCCTAAAACTCCAGTGAGTCATGCAGTTGTTTTAAACGTCGGACTTCAGCTAGAAATAGTTTAGAAATTGATTTTCTTCCTTTGTTGCCAAAAAAAAACAAAAACAGGATTAGATTTTCATTGTTAACCCAAATCATATAAACATTGTTCGAAAAATAGTAAAGGCTGAAGGAAAACCATACCCTGTTGAATTTTAAATACAGTGCTGTCTAACTAAATATACCTTCCATGATGCACAGAAGCAATCAAAAATAACTGATGTCCCACGTGGAAGCAAACATTTATGTTCAAATCATGTAAATGCATGGCACATGTAAGTAAAATGATTTTTTTTTGCTTCATCTTTATCATGTATTTTCAGGCTCTTGGTCTTTTGACACCCGAGGTGAGATGATGATTATATGCCCCACAAACCCCCTGCCCCAGCATTGAATTGTCCCCTTGGAGAGAAGTTCAGAAATGCTCACTAATGTTAGAGTAGCAGTTTTTCTGAGATAGTAGGGCGGCGCAGTAAATCGCAAAGTTATCGTTATCGCAATATGAGCATTCACAATTAGTATATCAAAAGTCTGAAATAGTGAAAATAAAAACGGAAGCCTTGTAAAATGAGCAAATACTTCTCACCCAGCATGTGCACATTCTACCTGTTGGAAGGAGACGTGGGTATAAAAAAACTTTGCTTTCACACCAGTCAGATGATGCTCAAGCTAGCTTTCGACTACACTCAGAAGAATTGTGCTAATTTAGTGGTTAAAAAAAATGCTTTTTGGATTTATTTGGCTTCAGAAGTGACATGTTGCAAACACAGGTATTGTGTAAAGCGTTGCATGTAGGCACACATACTGTGACTTAGAGCTAAAATGAATACCTTAATATTTGATTGTTTACTGCACTCAGTTTTGTTATTGAACAATGTAAGCTAATGTTCTACTTTTTTTTTTACATTTGATCTTGTTTGATTTATTCTGTATTATTTTCAAACTGCAATATATATATATCCAGAAACAATGATAACACAATTTGTTTTTCTAATATTGTGCTAATATTTTTGGGGAACTTAGCCCAGACCTCAGTATGGGAGTTCTGGGGGATTTTAACCCAGGATTTATTTTTGAATTTTTTAAAATCTATATTTAAATCTATTTTATGCCCCTTTGTCACTATAATGGTGAATTATAAATATAATGTAAAGGGTGTAGAGCAGAGAAGTTGCCCGCCTGGTAGTATGCTTATATTTAACATCATATGTGAAACTACTTTGAGAACATATGGGGTTGAAGGCAGCCCTGCTTCAGAACGTGGTGTCCTAGGCGACCCCCCCTGCATTACCTATATTTCTTGAACTGGCCCTGTGTTAGTCAGCACCAGTACTTTCAAGGTTCCATGTCAGGGCTACATCACTGCATTTATCATTATTTAATGTCAAACCTCATGGTCAAACTTTTTCATCACTTACTGTAATGCTTATGAAGAGACTTGTTAGCTCATCGTGATCATTACTGGATATCTGTGAGTACACCAGTGAATGCACTGATCTGATGATGTAATTTAAGCCCCCTCAATAACAACTTGAAGGTAAATGATCATGTGATAATAAACAACAATGTGATGATAGCAGAGAGTATCATATAAGTAAAAGCTAGCTATCAGTATTTCTTTCAATAATAATATATACAGTATATTCTTTTAAATCCAGCTGGTATCCGAGGGGAGGAGTGGTATCAGGTGATACTCAAGTTAAGGTATCATAATCAGTGTTGGTAAGAAATAATATCAGAACACACTGTAGCTTCAACGAAACACTTTTGACATGATAATGATTATTGCACTTTTCAATATAGTTTGGTTCATATGTCTAGTACGGGATCCACTTTTAAGGCTCTTCATGACTTTAGCTTGTTCAAGATGTGGAGTTATATCATCACATATTTCTAAAACATTGTTATTTGTAGATTATAGTTTGGGCTTTGACTGTATGCCATCAGCTAGCTGGACCAATTCTGCTGGAAACATATTTGCACGATAGTAATTCAGAGTTGAAAGAAAACAATGCAAGGTCACCCTCAGGTTTTTTGACCTGTCCCAGCAAGAGAAGCACAGTTTGAATTAGGTTTACATTAGGACGGGATATTTAAGGAGCTCCATGTGAGCTTGGTAGTCTGTAAGAAACCTGAATCCTGAAAATGGTGCACTGACATGCTGCTAATAAGGATGTTTTATCTTTCATTTCCATGCTGTGATTTATCTATTGTATGCTGTAAAAAGGGCCTAATGTTAAAACCTATGAAAACAAAGCGTTTATTTTCTGTGTGCGATGAATCCTCATGCAGAAAGTGGACGTCAGAAAATAAGGATTACAAATAAGATGAAACGAGAAACCATCCGGAAAAAGAGATGCGTAAAAGAAAAGATTCTTAAATAGGAGTGCATGATTCAACTTAACCTGATCCTAAAGCAATCCCATAACTGAAACCAAAAGAAAGATGTCATTGTACACTTGTGATTGTGGATGAATTCCAGCTGATGGTTGGGGAAGTGAACGCAGCCCCTTCACAGGAAACAGAGTCCTGACAGCACGGACTCAATAAATAATCTTAGCATTCTTCTTTGCCCGAGCTTCCTCGATGTTTATGTCCTTGTCTTATTTAATTTCGCTGCCATGCCAGGACGTCCAGCCAGCCATACTTTATCGTGTTAGGAGGCCATTTCATTATTAGCATGTCTGACTCGCACTGGAGCATGGCCATAGTGAATGAGGAGAAACTGACTGTAGTTCACTTGATTTAAAAATAGGACACAGACCCAGGTCTTGTTTTAGTCATGTTTCAACACTGTTTGTGTGTTTACCAATTTATAAAAAGGACAATTTATAGTTTTGATTTGCCCTTTTTCTCTTTGTCAACACACAACAATAGTTCCCACTTAATAAGAGCGAACTAAACCGATTAACACAAGAAATAATGTGTGCATGACTTCATCTTAAACAATAAGCAGTTAAACAAAAAATAATCACAAACCAAAATATAGAGTGAAAGCAGTCATCTGTGGAAACTGTAGACAGTACCTAGTTGCACCTCCATGTCTTTTTTTAGCTTGCATTGCCTCATCGTGGCCTTAGAGTCTACAGCTATACAGTGTCTCTGTAATTTGTTTGTAACACTGCTTTGAGCCAGTTGCTAACAGCAATGTGCTAACATGCTGAAAAAGACGATACCAACATGCAGATGGTATGCGGTATGCACTGCAGGTATCATTTGTACAAAACCTTACTGTCGGGTTGGCATGCTAATTTTTGCTTACAAGCACAAAACCCATTGCACAGACACGGCTGATGCAAATGTTATAGGTTTAAAGAAATGCCATGTCTGACCTGATAATGACTCAGAATGATACTGATACTGTTATCTATGATATTACGGTGCGTAACAAATATCATGCCTGTATCTAATAGTTGAGATACTTTAGTCTGCCCTGACCTGGTGGATCAACCACCGTACCTACATGACAGCCCTCAGACTACTCCACCAGCATGGCTAAGAATCTAAAACCTTCACTGATAACATATTCACGAATGTGAAGAGCTACCTTTCCCTCTGTGTTTCATATTAAAATATGAATACTCTGGTTTTTGGCTGGATGTGAGATTAGCCTTTTCAAACGCTCAAAATCACAGTGAGGTGAGCTCCACTGTCATGCACAATCTTGTTTGTCTTGTTTTTACTTGAGGCCACGCCACAGGTAAAGTCTTGTGTCTTTGACAGTTTTTCATTAATTGAGGAGCTGAAGCATGCTTAGCTTACTCACAACATGCTCGTAACATCCTGCTGCTGCAGAACTATTTGCCTTTAGTCGCACAGGCTCTCTGACTGACACACTCTCTCATGCACATATGTCTCTTTTAGAGCATCTGCCCAAGTTTACATGTCTAAAAATACAACTCCTTCACGCACTTTGACTAAAGATGCATTATTCAATACCTCTGCAGAGTAATTAAATCTTAATCAGGGATGGGCTCCTGTCCTCATGGATGAGATTAGCCTTTTCAAACGCTCAAAATCACAGTGAGGTGAGCTCCACTGTCATGCACAATCTTGTTTGTCTTGTTTTTACTTGAGGCCACGCCACAGGTAAAGTCTTGTGTCTTTGACAGTTTTTCATTAATTGAGGAGCTGAAGCATGCTTAGCTTACTCACAACATGCTCGTAACATCCTGCTGCTGCAGAACTATTTGCCTTTAGTCGCACAGGCTCTCTGACTGACACACTCTCTCATGCACATATGTCTCTTTTAGAGCATCTGCCCAAGTTTACATGTCTAAAAATACAACTCCTTCACGCACTTTGACTAAAGATGCATTATTCAATACCTCTGCAGAGTAATTAAATCTTAATCAGGGATGGGCTCCTGTCCTCATGGAAGCGCGGTGCGTGTGTTGTGGTGTGTGTGTGTGTGTGTGTGTGGTGTGTGTGTGTGTTGTGTGTGTGTGTGTGGTGTGTGTGTGTGTGTGGTGTGTGTGTGTGTGTGTGTGTGTGTGGTGTGTGTGTGTGTGTGTGTGGTGTGTGTTGTGTGTGTGTGGTGTGTGTGTGTGTGTGTGTGTGTGTGTGTGTGTGTGTTGTGTGTGTGGTGTGTGTGTGTGTGTGTGTTGTGTGTGGTGTGTGTGTGTGTGTGTGGTGTGTGTGTGTGTGTGTGTGTATTCACGTGTGTGTGTGTGTGTGTGTGACGTGCACCTGTGTGTTTTGTGAGCACTGTCTCGCAGTCCACTGGAGCATTTTTAGACTCTTACAGTGCGAGACGATTGAGGATGTCTGTAGAGTGAGTTAAAGTGCAGGCGGAGTAAAACCTTTCTGCTGAAGTAAAAAAGATGTGGAGGTTGATCGAGGTTAACCTTTGGTAACTCTGTCTGAAGGTTATTTACTCAATCCAACCTGGATCATCTCACTGCCTTCACTTTCGGTCTTTTGCGCGTCTATTTGAAAAACACTCTTGTTGTTTTCATGCTGTCTCGCTAAGGCAATTTCAGTGAGACTTGCCTGACACTTGATACTCCTGATCTTGTTTCATTACATCAACAACAACAACAACTGTCTCCATCTTGGATTTGATCAATAAGGTTTTTTTTTCTGTCTGTTAACATGTCTGTCGCATCAATAGACCTTTGTTCAATTGGAGTATGTTATCAACTGTGTATGTGTAAGTCCAGACTGTTTGGTTATTTCCATTCATTTTACAAAATCACTCAGTCAATATATGGTTAAGTGCACGGGGGGGGGGGGTTATAAGTAGACCAGGATATTCTCTTTTGGACTGACACAAATGAGGCAATTTGAAGTAAAGAAAAAAAAAAAAAACAGTCCAATATACCACCTAGTTTTTTGACAAGATTCCTGATGAAGATGCAATTTTGCCAATTTTGTTGAAGGGCCACATATCCCCCTATACCATTAATACATAGATGTATTTCATGAAATCAGAAATATTGTCTTTAATAATATACATCTTTCTTACTTGTTTGTAATTGGGAAAATAAACATGTTTCAAGTTAAATTACATGAAAGGGTACATGTAAAGGGCTGGCATGTTGGTTAAAAAATAAATTGTCTTATCTTGATTGAGATTTTGATTCAAGGGTTTGCAGGTGATCATATAAGATATTAACTAAAATGTTGCAGTAGACTTTTTTTCTTGAATTGATTGAGGGATGACTTCACTTGGCGCGTGTTGTATCTGAATTGAGTGATTAAAATCTCCATCTGGACTGCACTCTCCCTAAGGTTTGTACCGGGCTCCAACCAGAGCTCTGTTGCTTTGTTTCATTCATCGATCAGTTGTTAGTTTTCTTTTATCACAAAAACCATTTTGTACTTTTTCCCCCCCCATGCTGTGGCACTGATTGTAGTGTTCTCTCTCAGCTTCAGTCCTGGCTTAATAGAAACGTGTTGACCTACCATACATGCTACATCTGTAGTAGTAGCCTCTTGTCCTGTGCCTTCTCTGGTTTGTGCTGACATTGTGCACATGCTTGCACCTTAAACTAAGCAGAAAATGTGTTGACTGTGCTCCTTTCTCTGAGGACCAGGCTCTGCGGAATATCTGGTCTCTGGTGTAATCCCTGCTCGCTCTCGTCCTTATGAGAATGACCCTGAAGTTCATCGCGGCTGTTACTCACTCGCAGCCCCTACACACACCCTACACATACACACACACACTACTCACGCCCCACAGCATCACATCCTCGCTCCAAGGTCTCCTCATCAGCAAGGACAGACTGTGCAGGGATTCAGGCTTCAGCTGTTTTCCATTCATGCCTCTGATTGCCTTGTCGAGCTTGGATGGGTAATGGCTCACTATCTATGATAGTGTACAATACACAAGATAAGCTCCATGTACTGTATTACCTATTGAAGTGTCCTACACTAATAACAGGAACATGAGCTGAGTGATGGGAGTCTTTACTTATCATATCATATGCTTTATTCATAATATTATTTAAAATACACTGGACTGTGATTACATTTGTACAGCTGATCTCCTTGGCCCCGTCATGCACTAAAGCGCAGATTCCTTTCCCATGTGACTCTGAACAGGTCTTGAATGGCAGTACATTTATTTCTCACCATGATGACACATTTTCCAATCGATCTGGGGATCACGTGTTCTCAACCATAGGTCGTGATTTGAACGGTACACTCATCAACTGTGATCCATTGCACCACTAGGATGCATGCTGGAAATTCTCTTCTAATGCTGAAACAAGCAGCATGCTTTGCCACACCGGCTCAGAAGCAGATTTTGTAATGAATGATGGTGTTTCCCTCTATGTCTTAGGTGTGGCCGCTGGGGGCTTGCCAGACTGGGTGAGGTGAGAACTGAGAAGGAAACCCGCTGAGAAAAGAACACCTTGGACTGCTGAGGAGGACCTCTGTGCAGGTAAGGACTGATGGAGAGGGAAATATCTTTTTCATGGCTCAACATATCAGATTTCCACCAGTCACAAAAGTGTATGAACTCTGTTGATCATTTCTAATTTATAAATGGCAATACCTTAAAACACGCAGTGTATTGCACAATCAAACTATGAAGTTGCTTTGTAAATTTAGACTGCCAGAGCATAATAAAACCTCCCAGCATTGCCTACAAAGGAATATTTGCATCTTCATTTGATGCAATCAGTCAAATGAACCTTTCCTTAGTGGTAGGATGGGTTTGGATGGCTAGATCTCATTCTCTAACACCACATGCAGCCTCTACTACAGTCAAAAATAGTGTTAGTCACTGCAAACTGATGTCCTTGACCATTTGATAACCATTTCTACAACCAAGTGTAGGCGTTTTAACCCTGCTTTGTCGAAGTGGCATTTCATTTAGAGCCAAAGCAAATGAGTAGATGATCAGAGTTTTAAAGATATTTCTGTTTAGATTCAGTTTCCTAAATGTGAGGATTTGCAGCTTGTCCCTGTTTTAAAGTTCTAAAACTCTAAAATTCATTTAGCTGACGCTTTTATCCAAAGCGAAGTTCATCCGAGAGGAAGTTTAGAACCAGCAAGGATCTAGAAAGGAGGAAACGACGTCAATAAGTGCAAACGAACAGGTTTAAGTCCGATCGAGCACAGGTGCTGACAGTCAGTGCACAGAGGCAAAGCACAACATTGAAGGCTGTTCTTGAGAGTTCTAATCGGCAACAAAACCATCCTAAAATCATCATCATTAATATCATTAATATCATGTTTATCAAAGTGTGATGATTTAGATATTTTGGAGTTTTGGACTTGAAGTTGGTCAAATCAAGTGAGAGAAAAATGTACATTTGGCCTGAGGAAAGCTGTAATGACTGGTCTTTCATGATTGTCTTACATTAAAATAATTGACAGATTGATCAAGTGTCACTCAATGGCTTTTTTTTTTTTTTTTTTTAATATTGGCGCTTCAAACATTGAAATCCAGTAACAGAATGGTACTGTGCATTATTAGCTCAAGGAAAAGATTTAAGACCCTTCTCTTTTTAGTATGTTGATAATTTGGTAAGTTTTTGCTCTATCCAAGGTCATATAATTCTCTCTGCAACATTCCTAATCATAAAATACCTTTCTAATTATACTTACCTAGACCTTCACTCCCTTCTTGTCATCTCCCTGATCCTAGAGTGATCACAGAAAAGAGGAGTGAATGTCAGGGAAATGAGAGGAGGGAGCAAAAGAGTATTAGAGGGGATGTGTCGCCTTAAACAAATCATATTGAAATAAGTGCAGGGTAAAGATATGAAAAAGGAGATATGATTAAGGGCTGTGGGGGTCATCTGCATAAACGGTATTAACGCTCCTCCTGATTCCAGGTTCACACGGCCGTCGGCAGGGTGGAGCTTCCTGACCCATGGAGAATTATTTCCAGGCCGAGGCCTTCAACCTGGACAAGGTGCTGGACGAGTTTGAGCAGAACGAAGGTGAGCCACTGCGTTGGAGACGAGACGGGGACAAACAATGAGTCACTGTGTTTGAGAAAAGACAGATGGGACAGGGTGCAGCTGTGGGATTTCAGTTTCAGAGGAGCTGTGGTTAGCATGCCGTTACATAACCTACGAGTAAATCATCAAGGTACGCAGACAATCGGCCTACACCCAATGAGTCTGAGGAACGTTTACAGGTGGTGATTGAGGGTGTGCAGAGAGGGAATAGCACTAATTGGATTATCAATTTCCCTCGGGCTTGTGCGAAACTGTGTAATTGGTGAAGCACAAGAAGCTTTTTTATCTCTGCACTTTATCCTCAAATCAAGGGAAGCAGTTTTGTGAGGGCCGATTTGAAGCAGAGGTTCAAAGGCCCCATTGTTTATTTAGGATGATTTGAAAAGTAAACACTGTGATACTGAGCTGTGTTTCTGCACACTCCCAGCTGTCATGAACAAACAGTCAGCTTATCAAAGAGGAAAAGGCACCTCCTTTTCTGGACTTATGGAGGTTGACCTCAGAAAAAATGCCAGTTCTCCACACACAGCATCTTTTAATGGTACTTTGTGAGCTCAGTGTGTGTTTTGGCTGTGAGTGATTATCTGTGTGTCCTGTGCCAGAGATCCAGCTTGGCAGATTAACTGTGCGTGCGTGTGTGTGTGAGTGAATGCGAGTGTACAGCACACATACTAAAACAGCTTAGTATGAATTCCTTTGGAGGGAGGAGAGAGCACTGTACAGTAGCTGACATGGCTGTGCAAGAAAAATCGTTTTGAATAAATATAAGAAGAATTTCCGCTCGTTTTTTTCCGCAGCATTCGTGTGTCTGCCTGTCTGATGGCTCCCAGTGGTGACTGAGCCGTTTGTCCCACTTTCTCAGAATTTCCCAATCCATCCACACACTGATTTCCCACTCCATGCCAGCCTCATTTCTCAAATTGTCCTCTGGTTTTCTTTCTGCCATTTTTAGCTCTTTTGGTCACCTGGGAGCGTGCATCTCTGTATTAGTTCTCTGTAGCAGTCCATTTAAAGCTTCCTGTCATGCTGTTGTAGGTTCATGATCTCTTTTGTAGAAACATCTTCCTTTTTTAAGTTTCAGCTCTGTAGTGTGACACGAAATCTGTGAGGAAGCATGAAGATACTGTTTAAGGACAACTAATGCTGGCCTCACACATGACAATTCAAGTATTACCAGATCTAAGAGGAATCTGTAGAAAGGAGAGCTTGACTGGAAGTGTGTGGTCATGTAGACCTTTTTTTTCCTGTAATAAGCATTCATCAGGAAGTCAAACAAACTTAAGGGTCTACACACAGTTCCCCGGTAATAAAGGCACTTAATTGATTAAAAGAGAGTGCTCTGGAATTTGTCTTGTTTTTCTAAGATTATAGTGGATAGTAGATGTTGGAATAACCTCATGAGAGATTTGGTGCCCTACCATAAACTTGATTTAAGTAAAGGTGCCAGAAAACTGAGTCCCAGGCCTCGCATATGTTAAATAAGACTTGAACACTGGCTCACTGTTAGGACACAGCGTGATCCAGGTGATGGTTAGACTGGTGTGAACCAGTGAACACCTTTGGTAATGGAGGCGGCCAAAATGCCTTGCCAACAACTAGCTAGCTTGTAGTGCTAACCCAGTTGAATTTAAAGTTCATATCATCCCAGCTAATTTAAACCAACACATAAGGACCAAAATCTAGTTCTGTTTGCTCTCCAGGGTTGATTTTTTTTTTCTCTTTATAAATTAATCGCAACTAGAATGTCTTTAAATTCTTGTAACTAGTGACCCAGTTTGGCGAAACTGTGTTGAAACTGTGTTTAGATTTGAAAGGGTGTCACCTGGTCGTCTTTTGAAAGTCTTGTGTGATGTATTGAAGGTAAACTGATATGTAATCATCTGTTTGCTCTCTTCTCTCTGTTAGATGAAGTTGACAATCCCATTCTCTCTGATGCCAAGTGGACCCAGATTCTGGCCCCTCCAGCCCACCTGCTGTCGCTGAACCCCGCCCTGGCCCACGCAGACCTCAGCCCCGGGGAGAGTCCCCTGCCCTTCAAGACCCTTCCTGACTCTACATCCAGCGCCTCCCCGGGGGGTGACCCCAAAAGACACCCAGGTCCTGAACCTCCATCTTGGGCAGAGGATAGGCCAGCAGATGTCCACAGCCCGCCCCTTCCCCAACCCAACATCGGCAAACTGGTGGGCACAGACGACCTCTCCCCGCCCCCGGTGACGGCCTGTACTGCTGTGGAGAACGGCTGCCCCACCAGCCCTGCCAGCCCGCAACTGGACAGGCTCAGAGAGGAGATTAATTCTCTCTTGGACAACAAACCTGGCCATTCTGACCGGGAGGGTAAACCTTATCAGGAGGAGAGAGTCACCACAGCAGGAGGAGAAGGAGGCTCTGATGTCAGTCACACTCAGTTTACCTTTGAAGTTGGATTAAGACAGGAGGAGACACAGGAAGAGACTCAGAAAATCCATCCAGATGTGGAAGCCTCGATACATAATGGGCAAGGTGTCAAAGAGGAGGCTGTTACAGCTGCTGTTTTAGAAAATGGGCAAGAAAAATTAACAGCAAACATAAAAGAAGAGCAGGTAGAAAGTGTCCTGAATGGGAGAGGGAGAGACATTAACGCTGCTTGTGAGTGGGAGAAGAATGGTTTATCTTCTTCTGACAGTGTTGAGGTGGACCAGAAGGAGTGGATATGTGGTTCAGATGGACAGATAGACCAACTCCTCAGAATAAGAGGCCTTCCCAACGGTTTGGAGCAGGAGAGCGGTGGGCATTCCAAGCTTAAGGAGACAGAAACGAAAGAGGAGGACCATGAGGGTCTGTCTCCCTCTCCTGTCCCGTCTAAAGAGGACTCTGTCACTGAGGAAAAGGAAATGGAGGAGAGCAAGCAAGAGAATGGTGAAGGAGGAACAGCAGGGTCAGGCGGCATACAACCAAAACTCAACAATAATCGGCTGCAGCCAGTCAGTGTTCCCTACGGAGGCGCGAGACCGAAGCAGCCGGTCAGCCTCAAGCTCCAGATCCCACAGCCGCTGTCAGGTCAGGTACAAAACCAGCTCGGTCCTAGCGCCGTCAGCAAGAACAAAAACCTGGAGAACCATTGTCGAAGAGGCACTCCGTCTGAATTGACGCTCAGTGGGACTGATCAAAGTGCTAACGGGGTAAACGGAGATGGCGTCGCCCACTCTCCTCCCCCTATGCCCTCAGAGAGCCCAGATAACGACCTCCAGGCAGGCCAACAGGGTAATCTGTGCAGGAAACCTGCCAGCTCTCTGGGGGAGGTAGCCCCTGTGTGGGTGCCTGACTCCCAGGCTCCTATGTGTATGAAATGTGATGTCAAGTTCACATTCACCAAGAGGAGGCATCACTGCAGAGCCTGCGGAAAGGTCAGTGGAGGGTTTAAGCTGCTTTTAAGTGAAAATCTTAACTCAAATCACTGCAACACTTTACAAAAAGGCATTCATTTTATCAATGTACCTGGCATCTCTGGGCCACTTCTACTTATTTGTTTGTTGGTGGTGCATTTATAGAGAGATAAAAGGCACTGCAACATTTTAAAACGCATTACAGAGTCATACTTAATGAATGCGAGTAAGAAGGTGAATTCAAGTGTTTTAAAAGATTAATTCCTCGAATGCCTTTCTTTGCAGATAAACACAGGGAGGGTGCAGGTAAATTAGCATTATGGCCACCCACACATGCAGCAGGGTGTCCACACAGTGCTTTAAAGTGAAGATGTGGTCGCTGACACTGCACTGGGAAAAAAAAAAAAAATCGCTGGACTGCTACTTAATTTCCCATGGTGGTAAACAAACACACTCGCTGCTACTTGAGCAGGGAGAAGCTGGCACTGCAGTAATACAGACACCAACACCACAAACAATAAATGCAGCAGCGGGATCATCAGTGAATCCACCTCCACACTGGTAGATACACAAACCAGTTTGAGATGGGGCTTATGAGACTCTGAAATGAAAAGGATCCCCTACCCTGTGACTAATATTCTACTAAATACATGTTACTACTGGATAATGATGTGCAGGAAGGTGCTACACTACATCACCCTGGACACAGCTGCAGCTCATTTAAACCCTGGCAGAGTCTAAAAATCAATACCCATAAAATGTTACATTTACTGCACACTTACAACCCCCTCTTTTCAATGTTTCAGCTTTGAAACACCACAGTTAAAGTAAAACCATGTGAATAATGTTTTTCAAACTGTGTGATCATACTTGTAGGAAAGTGGTACAAGTTGCTTTGTTCTTCGTGTTTTGAAGTGTGTTTGTTTGTGTGTGTTTTGAAGGTGTTCTGTGCTACATGCTGCAGCCTGAAGTGCAGGCTCACGTACATGGACAGGAAGGAGGCTCGCGTCTGTGTCACCTGCCATTCTGCTCTGACAAGTGGTGAGCATTGTTATATACAGAGAGATATTGATGTTATTTCTACATCTACACCTTCTACATATGAATGTAACTGTGGATGCTGCACTATTCAATATTTAACAGTGTAATAACAAGAGAGCAAATGTAGGAAATAAAACGGGTGGGAAAACTTTTTCTTTAGGGACAACAATGATACCAAGAAGGTTAATCTTTTGATTTGATCTATGTTAAAGCCTCAGTAGCATACAACCTGACTGATTACAACAGGGTTTCTTTTAGCAAGAAATTAATTAAGTGTTGCTCAGTCATGAATGTTGCTACTGCAGACACATAAAGACTATTATATTAGAGTATTTAACTATTTAGTTTGATAATATTGCAGTTGGACTATAAAGACATTTCCATACAGGACATTTTATGTAATGTCATGTAGCATGAGAAGCAGAGAGTTAAATATCAGCATTAATAATGACTGTGCTTCATTTAGTTGAGCCTGCTGGCTAACTGGGTCACTTATTGAAAAAGAGCCCTCATTAACAAAATTAGCTAAAGCTTTAAATCATATATCATGACAAGTGAAACATCTGTTATTAAAACATGCAAGTAGAAATATCAATATAGAGTATAGGAATACTGTTAATATTGAACAGTTAAAAAATAATAGTCCTTATGAATCCCCGGACAACATCCGTCTTTGTCCATTAAAAACTGAAGCTGCCATAGGACCCCTGTTCACGTGCATGTATTTGGCTTCATTTCCCCAACACTTTATTAGTGATGTTCTCTGTCTCTTGTCAGCTCAATTTTGGGAGGCACCCGTCACTGCAAGCAACCAGAGTCCAAACCCCAACAACCCAGCAGAGTACTGCTCCACTATCCCCCCTCTGCAGCAGGCTCAGGCCTCTGGGGTGCTCAGCTCCCCTCCTCCTACTGTCATGGTGCCTGTGGGAGTTCTAAAACCGCCTGGCAACGAGGGTACGACCTTTACAGAAGATTAAAATGCTCTCAGTGCTATGTTGACATTCTTTCCACCACTACTTCAAAGACGTATTTAGTTTTTGCTAGCCCTGTTTGGAACTTATTTCAGTTTATTTGATATTACCTTGTTGTGTGTTGATTTATATGTTTTGTTGGTCTCTCACCTTTAGGGTCTCTTACACGGGAGCAAAGGAGGGTGTGGTTTGCTGATGGGCTCCTGCCTAACGGAGACGCGACAGAGTCACCCAAACCTCCTGCCTCTAATCCAGCCCCCTCGCAGTCTCTTGCCATCTCCACATTTTCAAACAAATCCTCCACTTCTGAATCCTCAGAGGTACGCTTGCTATGAAAACAGTCACCCGCAGCTAATGCTGTTAGGTTAACTTGTATGGTTATGTTAGCCACTCCTCAGTGAGTTGAAGGAAACCACAAAGAGCTCTTTCTGTGGGATTGTCGGTGGTTTACTGGCTGGGTCACAGACTGCGACAAATGGGCCGCAAAAGAGTTCAAAGAAACATTCCTCGTTTGCTTGATCAGGATTAGAAATCCCAGTAGACTGAAATACTTGAAGGAAAGCCTGTGGAAGTTTGCCCTACAACACATTACACAACAGTGAACTGAATCTTGTTGTTTCTATGGTTGTGATGTACACTCATTGGACTGAATGATTCATGGGCTGTTGAACAGATTGATTGTGGTGATGCTATGCAGACACAACATGTTTAAATTAAAATCACATGCTCACATGACACCCTGACGGCCAGAAGAACAGAAGTTAATTGGCCAAAGACGGAGGTGACAGCAGGATAAAAAAAATGGAGAACACGGCAAGATATTATCAGATAAAAGCGCTTTCATTAGTCTGAAGACTAGACAAAGCTCCGTACAAGCTGGAGTCCATTTACCGTTTATGATTGTCTTGGGACATATCAGTCATCCCAGAATTTCTCTGTTGTGATATTATCCAAATTGTGAGTCATGTTTCGCCCATCATATTATGCGTTGTCTTGAAAATTCCACCCCTAGTTAGCAAATATTTATTTTAATTTGACGTTGTACTACAAGGACAAAACTGATGCTTCATTAATGTTTCTGTTTTGCTTCCTACACCCTAATGAATTTATGAACTTTTTTAAAGTCTTTATCAACCACTGAGAAAAATATCTGTCCCTTTTTAGTTTCTAAATGCTCCATCAGTTTAAAAAATGTGATTAATCACGATTAACTGTTGAAATTTAGATATGACTAATTTCAATCATTTGACAGTCCTAGTTTGAACATGGTCTTCATTTCAAATGGCATACATTTCCCGGAGAAAAAGAAAGAAAAGGAAATGCACCATAAATGGTCTGAGTCTGCCTTAAAGTACAGGAAGTCTTGGCTTACAGTCTTGGCTTAAAGTATTTTTTAATACTGCCAAATTGTTGCTAATTCCCATGAAAAGCTTGTGTTGTTGATTTCTCTGCCAAACAGAACCAAGTGGCTTGTTAGTAATCACTTTGTGTTTCTCTTGTTTTATTGAGACCATTGTTTTTAAGAACACTATACAGATTTCATTTTTACATCTGGGGTGTATTTTACACACGGCTAGCAAAAAGAACTGACTTCTAACCCTACACCCCCCTACCCCTCCTCTCCACGCCAGGCATCCCACAGCCCTGTTGCCCCGGTTGGTAGCCCAGTGGGCAGCTCCTTCAGCCTGATCCCGGAGGACGGGCTCCCTCCCATGCTCATCTCCACTGGAGTCAAAGGAGGTACGGGAGGCCACATCACAGGTGCTTGCCCTCATCCTCACCATTCTGCTGCCTCCTCATTGCTCTGTTAGCTGCTGTGTTTGTGCTGTGATTTCAAACATGCTTTTTTATCATGGCTCATGTTGTGCGCTCATTGCAAACAGAGGTGGAGGTTAGGATTTGTTCTCTTAAGATGTTTTAAAGAGTTGAAAGGGTCTCTTGAAGTTCACATGTGACTCCTTTATTTTCCTCACCTCCCCTCTGATTCTGGCTCCTGACATCTCCACTCCACTCTCATTCTCGCTTCTCTCCTGTCCATCTGTCTAATTTAACCTCAACCCCTCCTCCACCTTCTTTTCTCCTCCGTCTGCTCCGCCCCAACCCATCTGCAGACTATGCAGTGGAGGAGAGGCCGTCGGAGATCGTCCTCATGCAGCAGCTGGAGGAAGGAGGCCCAGACCCCCTGGTCTTCGTGCTCAACGCTAACCTGCTTGCTATGGTCAAGCTTGTAAACTGTGAGTTACCAAAGCAAGGATTTACAGCATTCATGAGATTCAATTTAATAACACAGGTCAAATACTATTTACACAAGGAACTATTGGAGCGTCACAAACTGTGTGTTGTTAATATGACTGTAGCAATAACCACAATTCAAAAGTCTTTGAATATATCAGGCAGGCTCAAGTTTTTATGGCCCTTACCAGAATGAAATAAGTGACTTTTTATTTGTTGCTTTGTAACTGATCTAATGACCAGTGTTAGCCTGAGAGATGCTTTGTTCACGTCTTACAGGGAATTCACAAACATATTTTTTGTGCCTGTTGTACAATGTTCAGAAATAGACATAATGACCTGACATTTTGTTGGGACTGTTCACTAATGGCTCATATGCTGGATTTGAAGTGTTTTGCCTGAATTTCATCACACTGTTAGCAGGGATTCAAATGTCGGGTGACGGCTTGTAATGATGACACTTCATTTTATTTGTATAAGGATGCTGTTGTGTTTTTTTCCCCCCTAGGCATTTGTGAGCAAAAAAGATTGTTAAAGACTAGTGTGAGAAAAAAAAATCTATAACTTAAAATGATTTAATTCACAGTGTTTTTGTTGTTGTTGTTTTTGGTTCTGTGAAATTGTATTCTCTTTATGCATTGATGATACTTCGGCCTTCAATTGTTACATTAATTTAATAAAGCAGGAGCAGTCATGCATTTTATTTCTCTCTGACAGTTCACTTCAGATTTAAGTCATATCTGAGGAACAAAAATATTTGATGATGATTATGTCTCTGATGTATCTTGGTCTGATCTCCTGTATGCCTGATACAGCAGTTTTCTGCTCTTTTAACCCACAGATGTAAACAGGAAGTGTTGGTATGTGACGACAAAGGGCATGCACGCCGTCGGCCAGGCAGAGGTGGTCATCCTGCTGCAGTGTCTACCTGACGAGAAGACCATTCCCAAAGACATCTTCACACACTTTGTGCAGCTCTACCAGGAGGCCCTCAGCGGTAAGAACACAACCAACAGCTCCACCAGGAGGTTCACTGTGAAACTAGTTCATCTCCACTGTGGGCTCTTCTTGGGAGTGATAGCAGCTCATTAGTAGTCCTGTCTCAGGGTTCCCAGGTGAGTCTACCTGTGTGAACCTGTGTGTGAGTAATGAAGTTAAATGAAAGGGGAAAGTGTCCGAGCTCTACTTTAAGTTCCTGGTGATGCTCTATTTTTGAAACCAGGTTAGCTTCCACTGCTGCTGAACTGTCTGCCTCGTGAAAAACGGTCTAAACATTAGCACCCGGCTGTCACGTCGCCTCCCTCCAGGCGTGACACCTCACGGCTGCTTGTCTTGCATTTTTAACTCCGTATGCTGCAGAGCTAAATCGGCTAATATCGGGTGACTTTGACGGTTCGCTCCCCTCTGGCTGTTTCCTTTTACATATTCACATTGGAACACTTTCAGGCTGGTGAAATGGAGCCACATTATGCATGTCGCTCCTGATTAACTTGCCGTCAGTCAGGCCTAGAGAAGAAGAAGTGCTGGCGTTAGCAGGTTCCAGGCACAGCTTTGTTATGTTGCTGTGTGGCATCTAATGCCAGCGATCTCTCCTGTAGATAAAGAGTAACATGAAGCCTTTGTAGGCAATATGAGATTGTAGGGCAACAGGCAGGATGCCTTTTTATTTCTTTGTTGAACTCTGAGTCTCCTTATCAATACAGTGATCCCAGGAATAGGTTGACCCTCTGCAGAGGATGAGAGATCTGGATTCTTTCCTCATTTTCCTCTTCATTTGTTCTTATTTTCATCCTCTTCCTTTAATTGTATTTTACCCTCTTCTTTTTTATTCCCATCCTTTTTACATCATCATCTGCTTTTTTCTGTTGTTGAACTTTTCACCCTCACTCTCCTATTACATTCTCTTTTCTCTCAACTTTCTCTCCAACTACCCTGCTGTGCCTTTCCCTCTGTTATTACCCTGCCCCCTCCTCCTCCTGCTGCATATTCTGTGTCTCTAACTTCTCTTCCTGTCCGTTCTTCCAGGCAACGTGCTGAGCCACCTGAGTCACTCATTCTTCACACAGAGCTTCCTGGGCAGTAAGGAGCACGGCGGCTTCCTCTACATCAGCCCTTCCTTCCAATCGTTACAGGACCTGCTGCTGCCCAACCCGCCCTACCTCTTCGGCATCCTGATACAGAAGTGGGAAACGCCGTGGGCCAAAGTCTTCCCCATCCGCCTCATGCTGCGGCTGGGAGCAGAGTACCGATGTGAGTCAAAGTATACTGTACACGTATACACAACTCCCTACTATTTCATAAAGATAGCCTGGGACAGCCTGCCCCTGACACTTTCCAGAGTTCACCTTAAACACATCTCTCTCTACATGGTGGGACATGACATAAAAATGGTCAAGTCACAGTGTGTGTAATGTTCACAATATATGCAAAATTGTGAAGTAGTAACAAAGTCCTAGGCTGTGATGACAGGTTTTGCTGGAGAGCAGATAAGAGAATGTAACAGCTGCATTATATGCAAAAGATCAAACTGGTCGTGCAGCATTCGCTGATTATAAACGTTGTCAGCCCTACCCACTCACTTGTGCTGAATGTTCCTGAAAATGACCTGCCGTGTTTACGCGTAGCTCACCCAGGCAATTTAAGGATATTATTAGGAGTGCTGTGTATGTGTGAAAGGGGCTTTAGGTTTCAAAGATCGTTCTTGAGTTTTATAGCTGTTTGATCCTTCTACATGATCTTCATGAGCAGAGACTTTTTTTTAAAAGTTGTCATAAAAGGTTTGCTCCTTAAATAACCATTTTTCTGATCACTTTTTCATCACAAGTGTGGGATTCATTTGTTTTAAAAATGGCAAAAAAAGAGTGAGACAACAAATGTAAGTATTTCATGCCAGCTTCTTTTCTTCTGTTGATTTTCTGTTGAATCAAACACATTTTGGTAGCTCCCTGCAGAGTGAAATGAGTCCATAGCTCAATTATATCTCTCTGCATGCAGTCCCAAAAATATATTTTATTACATTTTTCTGGGCTGAAAATAAATGCTTACAGATTTTCTTTGTTGGTATTTGAATCAACATAGATCGATATGGACTCTGTCTGTCAGACATTGGAACCATAAAAGTTAAATAGGATGTAAAAGAGCAAAGTGTGGCTTGATAGTTTATGTAAAATGTTCAGACCCATGTTGATCTGGAAAGCTTAGCCTCTCAGTCGTAAGGAAAAGCTGTTGACTTTCTATAAACCTGTTCTAACGTGTTCCTCGCAGCTTCCCACATGGACCATGAGGTCTTGTGAGAGGTTTTATCAGAGGGAGCCTCGTCTCCTCCAAATCCCCTTCTCTCACAGCCAGACCTGCCAGCACGGAGCGCCGCCTGGCTCTGCTAAGCCTCTCGCCTGCTTCCAGTCAGCACGGATAGAATACATTAACAAAGCCACATACTGTCAAGGCTCTTAAAACACAGATTGTTAGCATCACCATGAAATTAATCCACCGCGCAAACAGCGTAGTTCTCTACGCTCAGACTGTGTACCTTAAGCAGTGACCAGCAGGAGGTCGGGTCTCTCATCCACACACGGCTCCCTGCAGAACTGCAGATTGAGGCTGAGATAGATTTCTTTTTTTTTTTTATTGCTAATGAGAGTTTGTGGAGAGATCTAATTTCCAGCTGTTTGCTGAGATAAGGCTAAAAATAGTCGTCTAAGAAGCTTTGGTTGCTGCGGAGAAAAAAAACAGCCTTATTTTTCACTTGTGGATTAGGAGTGTTCCTTCTAACTGCAGGCGTAGTTTGATGTGTGCGTGGGGTCTCTAGTTCACTTCATTTGCATTTATGAGTGAAGAGGATCAAAAACACAGGAAACACACGCTGTGTTCATAAAAGGCCTGGAAACTCCTGAACGAGAAACAAATAAACTGTGAGACGAGACTGAAGTCCAAATCAAACAGGGAGGAAGAATACGGCAGTGATGAAGACTTTGAATGACATTAAATCCACATGCAAACTACTGGTGCTGTTACTGTGACATGTTATAACTAATGGTATTACAGTTTCATCACAACTGAATGAGACACTATATAGAGGACAGGAGGAGGCTTGTAATATCTAAAACAGGGAACAATAACATTGTAGTTTTATGGTGGAATTAACAATAAGCAATGTTTTGTTTTGCAGTTTATCCGTGTCCACTGTTCAGTGTTCGCTTCAGAAAACCCCTCTTTGGAGAGACCGGTCACACTATCATGAATCTGCTTGCAGTAAGTCATATTCCCTTTCTCGTTCTTCCTGAGCTTCTATTATATTCAGTTATATATATTTATATATATATATATATATATATATATATATATCTGTTATTATATTCTGTTCTACCTTGTTATTTGATAAAATTATGATAAAGTGTTTTCCTTTAATAATTTTTTTCATTTCTGTCGTAGGACTTCCGTAACTACCAGTACACGCTGCCAGTGGTGAAAGGTTTGGTTGTGGACATGGAGGTGAGGAAGACGAGCATTAAGGTCCCCAGTAATCGTTACAATGAGGTGAGTGTCCTGCACCACAAATCTTCTGAGATGAGGTCGCTCTCACAGCTGAAATGTAAACAACAGCAGTCTATAAGAGTTTTAACCCTACAGTTAAAGCTAAAGCTACTTCTTCAGAATGTGAAAAAATCAACCAAGCTGTCACTAGAATCAGAACATGTTTACGCTAATATTTTTTCATTCAACCTTTATTTATACTCGAAAGATCATTGAGGGGCAACCCTCATTTACAATGACGTCGAGTCATTACAGAAATAATGAGAAAACAGACATTATATCAAAAAGAAAAACAGGGGACAGAAAATATAAGACTGCTAATCTTGCAACCATTTATGTTGCTATGGAAGCGCTAAATTGACACACATTTAGTCAAAGTACCCTGAAACTGCTAAACCTTCAAAACAGATTCCAGACGTTGAGAGAAAAAAATGCTTTGTTTTTAATTTCCCAGAATCATAAATCATTATTGAAACAAAATGAAACCCTCCAGCAGACTTAATGACATCAGTGGAGGAGGCTCCTATTAAACTCAGTGCTCGCACGCACGCACGCGCACGCACGCACATGTTGATTGTGTGTAGGTGATGTGCGACAAACTCTCCAGGGTCCTCGCAGCTGAACATTAGGCGTGGGCTGCAGACTTGTCACAACTGCTGCTGCCTCGAGGGTGTGAATGAACGTCCATCGAGAAGACGTGCTACACAAGAAGCAACCATTTGGCCGAGACAGAAAGTGGTGCTGGTTGTAGCGTTTGGCTGCTGATGCACTAACAGATGGGAACCCAGTAATGTGAAACGGGGAGCCGTTTCTCAACAGCTTGCAGGCGAGCCTTCAGCGCAGCAAGTGGTTAAAGCCCTCCAGATTTTCATTTTTATTTCTGATTCGCAAAGAGCGTCTTCAAAGAGATGCAGAGGCGAGGGATTTAGCAGTATGAATGTGTGGGATCTTTCCTCTATTGATATCCACCCATGTCAGTGACTTAAAACATAATCTGTCATCTCAGCCCGTTCCCATTAAATTTGAGGACTTTACCCTCAAGTCCAGTGCAATTAGGCTTAACCAGGCAGTCTCTGATAAGCTCTTTGCTCCTCAGCACAGTCACCCGTAGGGCAGCTTAACCAGACATGGATATTGTTCTTCCTTGCAGCTGATGAAAGCCATGAACAAGTCCAACGAACACGTGCTGGCAATGGGGGCGTGTTTCAACGACCGGGCTGATTCCCACCTGGTGTGTGTCCAGAACGATGACGGGAACTATCAGACACAGGCCATCAGCATCCATCACCAGCCTCGCAAAGGTGCCGACACAGAGACGGATTCATCTCTTTTATCTCTCACTCTGTCTCTCTGCTTGTTGTGTCCAGCTCTGTGTACTTAAAAAAAAAAAATCCTACTCCTCACTGTCTGCTGTTCGTTCTTCTGCGCTGGCTGTTTGCCTTAAAATCATTTGATCTTGATCTTGGGTTGATTTTCTCTCTCTTTGTAATTGTCTGCAGTTACTGGAGCCTGCTTCTTTGTGTTCAGCGGTGCTTTGAAAGCCTCATCGGGCTTCTTGGCAAAGACCAGCATCGTGGAAGGTAAGATGTGTGACAACACAATCCATGTTGGCTGTAAAAGTGCAGGGTTATTGTTTGAGTGTATTTTTATGAAACCTTCCAGAGAACAGAGAGTAATGCTGGCACAGACTGGTGATAAGTGCTGCAACAAGGGATTCTATTTATTATCACATTGGAAGATGGAAGTGATTTCTCACATCTCTGGATGTGTTAAAAAATGCAAACCAATGAGAAAACTTGATCATGGCAATAGTCAATTCTTATTTGAATTTTTCTCTAGTGCCGTCATATTTCAGGTTTGTAATACCCTCAAATACCCCTCGAATACAGACCTCATGGTTATTTGATAGCGATATGGTAACGACTTTCTCAGTATGTTCTAGGAGATTGACTTTATCATATCAACTATATATTATAAAGACAAGCTCAAGCTGCAACTAAATATTATTTAATTACAAGTTATTCCTCTGATTATTTTTAATTGTTACCCATTAAGGTATGGCTTCTTGACAAACTCCAGAAAGAGGCTCTCCCATGTCTCAGTGTTGTACTTTCATAGCACTGGTTGGTTTTAAAAGAAAGAGAATTTTGTTTTGGTTCTTTGTATCGTTCAAGTCAAAAATATGCAGAAAACTACAGGCTTATTTATTCAGTCTAGAAAATATGCTTATTTATCCAATGACACGTACAATAATAATCAGGTTTAAAGTGTAACCATGACAGCGTCGTCAGAAATCTGTGTTAAAATCATAATCGATCAGTAATTTTCCCTGAACTGATAAATGAATGTACTATCTGTCTCAGCACTCATCATGATAATGGATCTTTTTTTCCCCCCCCTTCCGCTCTCAGACGGTGTCATGATTCAGATCACAGCTGAGACCATGGACTCTCTACGGCAAGCGCTGAGGGACATGAAGGACTTCACCATCACCTGTGGTAAAGCCGACCAGGAGGACAACCAGGAGCTCGTCCACATCCAGTGGACGGAGGACGACCACAACTTCAACAAAGGGTGAGACAGGAGGAGAGAAAATGGCTAACTGACAAAGAGAGGGAGCTGACAGAGAGGCATCAATGTCACGCTCAATTGAGCTGATAGCTTCCCAACTGCTACATTTACTACTCTGCCATAAAAAAAAAAACTTGTTGTGCATGTCGAGGAAGCCCTCTGGAGGAAAGTCTCAGCAGGGGGTGACGGATGTGGTCTGATATGGCTTCTGATGAAACCTGCAGGTCTTAATGTGATTTTTCACTCTTAGATGTATAACTGAGGAATCTCTGCAGATACTCTATAAATGTATCAGCACATTTATATTACCCACACACTCCCTGCTCGGACTCTTATTTCACAGGATAAGTAAGTATGGTGACACGCTGCTTAAAGATTCCCGTCAATGAACCAGGTCGTTTATTTCTGTTTCATCACTGAGTTGCACAATAGAATAATTTTAGTCCCTTCAAGCACACACATACAACATATCAGGAATACAGATAAATATAGAACTAATGCAATCGCTGTGCTTCCTTTTCCAATACTAGAAAATGTATTTCTGTCATCGTTCATATGTGCCTTATGGGCAAAAAAAAAAAAAAAGAAGATCTCCCAACAAAGTTTGACGAGCTAACAAGCTGTCAGACCTGCAGATGAAGCCATCAGCAATGTGACATGAAATACCTTCATTAGTTCATTTTTTCAACACTGTTGTCCGTGTGGACTTTATTTTTGATTTGCTAGAAAATAAAGAAGAAGCTTCTTTTTTTCGTCCTCCAGAGAACTTGTAAAAAGCAGCACAAGGACATGCATCATAAAGAAATTGATACCTGTTACAACACCACAGCAAGAACAAAAGACTAGGCAGACATTATGGGGACATTTCCAAAAATTGCAGTCAAACTTCTGCTGACCATTAAATCTGATTGGATGTCCTCTGCTCTCTCTCTTTTGCTGTACTAAAAATATGGCTGAAGATCTGTTGTTTTTTTGTTTTCTTTTAAAGCTATAGTACTTTCCCATACAATACATCACAAACATGAGATTATGTTGTATTAAAACACATTATTGCCCTATTGTAGTCAACATCTGGCCCAGAGACAGTGGTTATAGTTGCCTTTTGGTAACACTGGCACATTTACAGTATTGTTTATCAGAGGGAGTTTGCTAAGTGTGACTTCAGTCTTGGGCCGATGATCGCCAGCCGAGCAGCTGGCAGTTCAACGCCACGCTCGAGGGCACAGCGACAGAAGCTGCAGAAGGAAATCTGTTTTATATGTTTTACTCATCCAGATTTTAAAACTTACCTTTAGTCCTTATCAGCCCCCCCTCACCCCATCCCCTCCTCTTCTTACCCCTGTTTCTAAATCCTCTGTAAAGTTCTGGGCATTCATCTCTGTTGTTTCTGTGTTTTGGTTCTTCAGTGTCATCAGTCCCATCGATGGGAAATCTATGGAGTCTATCACCAGCGTCAAGATCTTCCATGGCTCTGAATTCAAAGCCAACGGCAAAGTCATCCGCTGGACAGAGGTACGAAGCAGCCAAACCAAATGACTTATTTTGACAGAAATTATCCAGCACAGGAGTCGTTCAGGGTAAAATTATGGATTTGCATTCATTTCATTTTTTAAAGCGCAGCCCGGGCTGCAGCTCCTTCTGTGTTTGTTTTTTTTAATTTAGACATTTTTGCACTGTGCAGCCTCTACTAATACTGTCTATTGGTCTTAAAATCCATTTGTACATGTCTCACACAGAACTTAGTGAATACTGTGTTTAGCTTTTTATCCACAAACTCACATGTCGCGTGTTTGTTAATCCAAAATAGTGGCTTTTATCTCGGCCTTGTTTGACTTTAAACCATAAGGACATTCTTATTTTTCCATGAAGCTCAAGGTGACGTCTTCAAATGTCTTGATTTGACCAAAACCAAAAGACATTCAGTTTACTGTCTTCGGACTTAATGCCGCTACATAATTAATTGCGATTTCATTGTTGCTGCTATATGAGACTTTACATTAGCACATTGCAAAAGTCCAAATGTATTGTAATAAAAATGAAACATTTGTGTACATTTAGTCGATTGGTTGCAGACTTCAGTTATGGTTGCAGGTCTACTTCCATAGATGTGGTTATATTGAATTCATGATTTCATGTTTCTCTCAGGTGTTTTTCCTTCAGAGTGAAGATCAACCCAACGGTCTGAGCGACCCGGCCGACCACAGCCGACTGACGGAGAACGTAGCGAGAGCTTTCTGCATGGCGCTCTGTCCACACCTGAAGCTGCTGAAGGAGGACGGGATGGCCAAACTGGGACTGAGGGTCACTCTGGACTCAGACCAGGTGGGTTCACATGCCACAGTGACATCAGTCGTGTTCATTGATATAGATACACATACGTATACAGTATTTGAGCTTTTGAAAATATGTATGTATGTCTGGGCAGTTAAGGAAACAAGGAAATAAAAGACAGAAGACAAAGAATACGATCAAGGAAAAAAGAAGGTTAAGAACCACATTTACTAAATAAGGAAAAATAAAAGGGGTTATTTCTCATGTATCAGTGTAAGAAAACCCAAATGTCTGTTCCAGCTGTATGAGGGAGAGTGGTCTAAGTTTTGCACTTATTATAAGTAAATAAATTGAAAGTTTGTTTTGTCGATTGCCTACATTTTTTACATTCTGTAGTTATCAAACAACATTTTTCTTTTACATCTACTGAATCGATTCCATTGACTGTATATAAAAATGGACGATGTGTCTCCACCTCCTCGAGTTGTACAAAAGTGAAGCCAAACTCCCCCACTACAGACGCAAACATGTTGCGCTGGTGGCGTCTTTTGTAGAGGATTATTGTGTAGGTTTGAAAGTATTGTGTTAGTGTTTGTCAGGTTTCTTCTCACAGTTCCTCCTCTACTCTGAAGAGCTGTCAATCATGTCATTTGACCCCCTTTTTTTTTAAAGATTTATTTTTTGGCTTTTTGTGCCTTTAATGGATAGATAGGACAGTGGATAGAGTCGGAAATCAGGGAGAGAGAGAGAGTGGAATGACATGCGGGAGGGAGGCCACAGGTGGGAAGCGAACCCGGGCCTACCGCTCGAGACGAGAGCCTCAACACATGGGACGCGCGCCCTAACCACTGCGCCACCAGCGCACCCCTCACTTGACCCCCTTTTTATAGCATCAAGATAAATGTATTAATCATTTATCAGAAAAATGTTCATATGAGAATTCACTGAAAGACAGTAACCATGTTGTTCTTGTGTTTCAAATACATGGGCCAGACGTGGCCATCGAACAGGCCGGGGGGGTCTGGCACAGTGTAGTTCCTAGAGCCTTGAGAACGATATTATTGTATCTGTCATGTCGTCCATCTTTTAATACTGTCTATGATCTAAACAGTGCACTGATAGTGATACGAGTCTAACACCTGTCTGTGTTGTTACAGGTGGGTTACCTGGCAGGAAGTAATGGCCAGCCTCTGCTGCCTCTGTACCTGAGCGACCTTGACAGCGCTCTGATCCCAGTCATCCACGGAGGGGCGTGTCAACTGAGCGAGGGCCCGGTTGTCATGGAGCTGATCTTCTACATCCTGGAGATCATCTCGTAGGGAGTCTTTGGACCGTCATCTATTTCTTTTTGGACCTTCTGATGTCATCTCTCATCCTGGACCTACGTCATCTTCCTCCAACTGTTTGCACTTCAAAGGAGCCTGATAACTGTGCCGTGCCAGGTGGGGTAGCATTCCTCAAGTCAAAACCTATGCATCCAAAAACCACCTTCTGTTCTGCTCCAGAGGCCTCCTGGGGCCTGACGAGGCCTGTCATGTTTCCATTGTGATGAACTTCACCTGACAGGTCATCTGTCTCAGGTTCTCATAAGAGGTCCACCAAGCAGGAAGTAAACACCAGAGATGACCTGCTCAATCTGTTTGACCCCAGTGTGGCGTTAAAGTGCTTCTATACAGTATTAACCCCCCCCCCCCCTCGCGCTAAAAGTCTTCATGTTTATCGATTTACAACGATGGTCAAAGTACAAGTTGAAGTGGCTTTGTTGGTTTGTCAACAGAAAAAAAAAACTCATGATTTCTACAGAGGGATTTGATTTCTCTTTGTATGCCTTTTATTAGAGTCAGAAATGTGGTACAGAGAGAGAGTGAGGAATGACATGCAGGAAAGGAGCTACAGGTCGGATTTGAACCTGGGTTTGCCCGCTTGGAGGACTGTAGCCTCTGTACATGGGGCGTGCTCACTAACCACTAGGCTACCGGCGCCCCGGAGGGTTCTGACTTTTACAAAATAAACAAATGTTTACATTTTTATTTACCCCCAGAACACGGCTATACAAAATCCTTTTAGGGACAAATATTACTCATTAAGAACATCGTCAGTTCACCTCGTGTGCTGCTAGAAACATCCCTTGAGTTATCAGATGTACTGCCTGAAAGCCAAAGAGCGTTAACTCTGGAGCAGCTCTGCATTTAAGGCCACTTAAATATTTTTATATCATTACTCTCAATTCTACTCGCTTAGTTTCCACTTGTGTCACAGAGTGAAGGGTTTGTTTCGTGCGGCTGCTCGCTCAGCTGTTTAATTTACTTTTAAAAATTCATGACAAATTAGCAGTGATGGATGAAATACTTTTTTTTTTTTTTTCTCAAGTAGCAACATGTTCATGTAAAAAAAAAAAAAAAGTGAAAAGACCTGGACTGAAAACACCACTCGAGGTAAATCAACCATTAAAGAAATATAATGAATCCTGCAGATGGGACAGTTTCAGAAAAAAACTCACATACACTAACAGCTTGTAAAGGTGGGGCTTATTATTTACTCTGAATAGACTTATCAGCACTAATTAAGTCATATCTTTTTCCATCATTTATTGGTTCATTCTAGCTTTTGTAAAAAAATCTGAAAAGTAGTAAGTGGCTGTACTAAATAATGATTATGTAGTCTGCAGCTAGAAATCTTCCCCTAAATTACGTAGAATTCAAAGAAGTATTGCAGTATCTACTTAAAGTATAGTGACTGAGTTAATGTACTTTGATATCACTGTGGCCTCAGGAGTTTAAGCTCAGATGTTTGAAGATACCAGAACCAGGTTTTGTTGATCGACTCTTTGGAAGAAGCTGTCTGCTCCGAGACTTCATGCAGCCTTTCAAATGTTGGAAAAATGTCAGCATCCAGATGTGCAACCTGAAAGAATTATTATCCACACAGACACACAGCTGTTTGTAATATTCAAGTAGCAGCTGATCGAGAGAACTTGCTATTTTAACTTCAAATGGTCTTTTTCTGTTAATCAGCCACTTTGAATGAACTTTGATTGAAAGTTGTAAATCAATCCAACATGAATTCCTCCCCTGTGGGGGGGGATACGTTTCATAGGCGTCGTATGTAGCTGCTCTAGTTAACACAAACTCGTCCCTCCAAAGTCACTGTGGCAGCCAGCGGTCCTGAAGCACTGACAATTATCAGCAAAGGCCTCTGTGTAGCACGGATGTTCTGAAACGAGGGATACGCACATCCACGGCTCAAACCTCTGGAATAATTTATCTGAAGTTAAACAAGGAGCTGGAAGATGCGTCAGTGTGGTGTTTTTCTTTGAACCCTTTTTGCACCGAGGTGCTCAGTGCCTGCAGCAGCGAATCATCAAGTGAGGAAAAAATAAATAAGAGAGAGACAACTTTTCATCTCCACCTCTTAAGCTTTACTCATAAGTCACCAGATGCTTTACTTCATGGACAAATACGTGTTGTACATATTTTTATAGACGCTAACGACTCCTCCTCCATTGTTACTCTGCGTCTGTAGCCTCCAGAGCTCCAAGTTAAACGCAGGAAGTGATATCATGGACTCATCAGACTGACGCTCTGTGGAATAAGACTACATGGTAACTCTGAAAACCCTTTTGTCCTACAGTAGACAGCTGGTAAAAAAAAAAGGTTCCAATGCTTTATTGATCAACTCAATCTGTACATAAAGCAGAAAAATCATTTTTTAATCTCATCCACTCATCTTCAACATCATCGGGGCTCGTTGTTTGTCATTGGTTGGAAAGACACTCTAGTCTTTTTAATCACAAAAGAGAATAACTGAATATGTAAAAGATATATATAAATACAGTATATATATATATGAATAAATAACTATATAAGAACTGTAATAAATTGCAGAAGCAGTGCACTGGATTCTAAGCCATTTACAGGAGAGTTCAAGCGAGCGACTAGGAGGCCTTTGAGTCCTGAAGTTTTTTTTGTTTTCAGCTGCAGAAAAAAAAACCTCAGCTGTAAAGATCCAGGGTTCCTGCAGAAACAAGAGTTTGATCGACCTGAAGCTGAATGTATCTCATCTCACATATTCTGCAATCGTCCTTCCAAATCCCTGGAATCACCAACATCCCGCCTGAGACTTTGCAGCAGACCTGCATAGGAAGGAACCCTGTAGACTGCTATGTTGTCTTCAAAAGGCCTCAACAGTTGTTTTGTTTTTTAAAGTTAAAATGAAAAAAAAAAAAAAAAGATCTGTTTTTGCTCTGGACTGTGTTCTCCTGCAGCTACATGGACCTGGAAAAAAATGTAAGAATGTATTCCTCTTGTTTCTGTTCCAATCTGCTAAATGTGATCGTCCACCTCTAGATAGACTAGTCACCAAAAAGCACCCTGTCATGTCTGGACCACTCTTTACAATAATCATTCAGCGTCGTGAGGCAGTTTCTCCATCTTTAATCGTGCTCATATGAAACCAGACGGGGCTACACAAAAAGTACTGTCGGTACAGTACGAGAGGTTTCATCAGAACAATCTCGACATCACAATGAGAATCAGACAATCACGAAAAATCTGCAGACGAGCCGGCGCTTCGAGGTTAAGTTAGAACTTGAGCCTTTCTTTATTCGTTTATATCTCAATTTGAAGTATTTTAGGAGCTACTGTAGCAGATACAATGTTAGTGGAGCAGATTAGAAATGTTCAGTACAGGCTGAACGAGAGGTCAAGGTCACCAGTTCTGGGTTTATTACTGTGATCATACCAGAGTGGGTGTTTCTCAATCACTGTGTCTTCACTGTGTGACGGCCATCAGCCGCCATCATCCGACGGCATCTCTCTTTTTTATAAATCGGCATAACAAAGAGGAGACGTGAGGATTTCTTTTTCAGACTTCTTGTCTTCTGTTACGGTTTTACTTTTTGGCATTCTCTGATGTGTGCAATATGTCCCAAATCCCAAAAAAAAAGAAAAGATAAAAAAATAAAGACAAGGTGCAATTAGTTTGACTGAAAAAGTAGCATTATCTCTGTATTCAGTTGGAAGATGTTACGATCCGATCTATAACTCTGCATGCAAACAGAAACAAGCCTGAAACGGCAACGGGAGACGGAATCAACTTTGCATTTTAACAGTTTTCTTCTAATGTTTGGATGAATCTTTGAAGAATTAAAATCTGCTCTGTCATCGTCTGGGTTTTGTTTAAATATATATATTTTATTTTTTTCTGTTGATGTTTGAAAAGCCAAAAACCCCTGTACATCTTGTTTTTTTCTTTACAATACATGTCAAGAAAAGTGGTCTTTATCAAGAAATTGTAGTATATGTAAAATAAAAACTTCTAGAAAACTGAACAATGACCTTCTGTTTATTATAAATACTCCAGAAATAAACACATACTGGACAGCTCAAATTAAAACAGGACACTTTTTTAATGGGTACATTTGAAAGGTGGGCAGGCCAATCCAGTCCACAATTGAAAAGCGAAATATAGCTGATTCTGATTTAGAGATTATTGAGTGAATAGAAACAAAGTGACATCATTCATTATTCGTAAACATGTTGGGCATCTCAATGTCTCCACAGAAATAGAACAGGTAACATTATTAAAATCAATGCAGGAAGTTAAGTCAGTCATTTGTGAGTTTCTTTAAGTCATGAAGTGAAATGTTGTGACCCCACATAAATGTTTGGAAAGGTAGCAATGTTGCAGACAATGTTGAGGTAAACCTGGTGGCAAACTGAATAATGTGGTTGGCTCAGTGACGTGTGTTACGGCCTGTCGCGTTGCTTTCATCACAACGCTGCAGTTTGAACCTCGACGGGCCAGCTCACTCAAAATGACTCCCAAAACATTTCTCTTCTTACGTTTGTTTCTTCATAACTCAAACCAACAATGTTCGTTTAAGATGAAATACAAGGTGGAGACTTGTTCCAGTGATGTTACATTACTAGAAGAGTTTTTATAAAATATGAGAAAATTAAACGCCCTGTTAGTCAGTATTTTAGTCTTGGACTAGAACAGCAGGAAGAGATTTGTCCTCGATTTCTAAACAGGCTAAACTATGTGTATACTCTGACTAACATATTAACTATGAAATATAAGTGCTTCACTAATTTGGGTGAACTGGCCCTTTATTAGAATTTGAAGGATTCAGTCAAGGATTCAGGATCTGATGCATAGCTTAAACAAATACTTTAACTTAGTTACTCCGGTATTTTAACCTGAAGCTTTTGTCCCACTTATTTTAGGGGCTTAACGATGACAAAAAGCTTAAGTCAGTTTTAAACTGGTGTAGACACAAAGAGCTTTTTGAGACAGACTCATGTTTACTCTCTCATGTCGAGAGGTAAACTGTCGGAGGAATCTGATAGTTGAAAAGTTAACCAGAGTTAGAGGAGGAGATCGAAGAATTTGCCTCAAAAATATATACCGGTAATTAAAACTAAATCTAGGTTTAAAAATAATTAAATGACCCTTTGAAGTTATCATGGACAAACACGTGTTTGCTTTCTATGTTGAGAGTCTGATTAAAGGATATTTACCAATCTCTCCTTTGTGATCTAACAATGTGCAGAAGTCAGGACGCAATTAGCTTAGCTTAGCATAAACACTAAAAGCATGGGGTAATGGTTAGCCTAACTGTCAAGAGTTTAAACTCCAAAGATGAATAAATCATTTTATCACCCGAGTCAAAACTTCCCCAAACGGACAAAGAATATTGTATCTCATGGTTTCAAATCGTATCATACCGTAGCGTATGATATTGCATCGTATCATATCGCATCAGTACGAGGAAGACAAAAGAAGACACTGAAGTTTCTTGTCCTGGTGTTCGGTAAGCTCTACAGATGTTGGCTGGTGTCTTGAACTCTGGCTTCATATTTAACAAACAGACCCGAGAGAGGTACAAATCTTCTCATGTGGCACAGTAAAAAACAAAGAAGTTTATTCCCCTTGAAATTATCTCTAATGCATTCAACTGATATTTGAACTAAAGATCCCTTTTTAACCACCTCATGGTCTGAGTAATTAGAGACATTTGCCTTGAGATAAATCTTCATAAAGCTCTTTAGACTGAAACTCTTTGATTTATGCTACGGAGTGTAAACAAGATAAATATACAATCTAATCTAAAGCCACAGATAAGTGCAATAAAGGGACCACAGTTAGTGACTTTTTAAATTAGAGCGAAAAGGTGTCAAAGAAAGGAAGGTGGTCTTATGTGTATTACGTTATTAAACCTTTAATAGTATCATTATTTCTTGGCTTACTCCTGTAAAACATTTGTGAGGGTGCTGCTACCTGCGTTCTAAACATCAGATGAAATGTGAGAAATCACGTCCGAACCTGCCCGTGTCCCGTCACCATATTAAGCCCCCCGTGTCATGGTAACTAGTTCAGCAGCAAAAGGCAATTTCAAATATGCAGGATGATACAGCAACAGTGATTACTTTGGTATTAGTGCATAGGTGCAGTTCTAGATACCAGAGCTGAGTAATATGAGGAATATGTACACGTGCTTTGATATATATTTTATATGAACTGGAGTTATGTCTGGCAGCAGGATCTGGTCAGCTCGACACTGAGCCCCTTTAGCTTCAGCACAGGACACTTTCTGTCCTCCAGGAGAGATGCAGGAGGAGACTTTCAGGACCACTAGCATCGTTTTCTCTGATTTTTTATCTCATTAAGAGATTCTTCCTGACGCCTCATGAGCTTATATCTTGACTCATAAAATAATCTTTCCTTTGATTTAGCAGTCTTAGTTTTTGTTGGTCATTCTGGTGTCACTGCTAAGCTCCTGAAGATCCAGACACCAGCTGACCTACCGTGAACCAGCTCCATGTCTCCCCCTGGTGGACTGCAGTGTGTGAAGGGGAGCTCTCATGTCTTGCAAATGTGCAAAAGTTCTAGCAAGTCAAAAACCCGTGTAGGTGTGTGTCCAGTCTGAACGACAGGTTGTCCTCACCACATCACAAACTCTGTCCTCGTTCTCCTCTTTCTCCAAATCTTCAAATTTGATTGAATGACTTAAATCTGGAAAAACAAACAAAACAAACACATCAGTCAGGAAATTAAAACAAAAGTAACTCCATGTGAAAATATAACACCACAAATCAAACCAATCTGCAAATTAAACAACAGCTTCTAGGGTGAACATTTCAAAACTGCAATGATTGAAACATTAACTTCGACTGTAAACAGTGAGTCATTAGTGCATAAATATCTTGAACAGAGAAAGAAAAGATCAAATACTGTATGGAGGTCTGATCAAAGCCCCTAAACAAGACTAAAATCTTAACAGATTATAGTAAAAAGGATTTGTATTGAAATATTTAAAACATTGACCAAGTCGCTCAGACATCACTGAATAAAAGTCCTGTGAATAGTTTTAGTAACAGTAAAGTCATATCAGCAGAAATGACTGAATGACTGAAATCCACACAAACTAAACTTTCCTTAAAATGAGCTTTAATGAGCTTAATTGTTATGACAAATGAAATTAATTAAAAATATAAAAATTTCTCAATTAAACCACAACACAGAAAATAAGAGAAGAAAATTACCTTTATCTTGAGTATCATCATTCTTTCTGAAGCAGCATCTAAACAAGAACCTTGGAGATAACAAGAATCATCATCAGAGGTCGAACATGAACACTGCTTTGTCTCCGGATGTATTTATTAAAAAAAGGCTGCACTCGGTATATTTCATGTTACCTGTGACTGGTCGATGACCAGCCAGCGCTCAGTGCTCGTCTGCATGTCCTGCCCGCTCAAAGGCTCCCGCAGGCGGACCTTGACTTCCACACGACCTCCTGTCGGCTTACGGCCGTCAATCACCTGACAGGACAGACACAAGGATCTCAGTTACTGATATCTACAGGTGAACAAGTCCCCAGAGAACACCTTACTGCTGTATGGTATCTGTCACAGCTGAAGAGCTCATTCAATATAACAAAGAGATATATTTCTCTTCTTGAGTTTATTTGATCTGAAATGAAACTCACCTCTACGATCTCCCTGATTTCACTCTGTGACTCCAGTTTTTCCAGCTTCACGAGCGCCGTCCCGATCGGCTTGTCGCTCCGCAAGAAGCCGCTGCAAGAAAACACACACTCTAGTTGGTACAGTAAGGATAAGAGGGTAGATTTACAAGTTCTTTTCTACACCTTATATGTTTGGATGAAGAACTGATGACAAATGTGGAAAGACATGGAGGGGTATAATCTTAGATTGGATGATTTGTTTAGGATTAAAAAAAACTTGTATGCCTTTATGTTTTATGCCTGTATTGATAGAACAGTAGAGAGAGAGAGAGAGACGGGAAATATTGGGAGGAGAGAGTGTGGGAAGACGCAGCGAATGTTGAGGGTCGGAGCAAAACCTGGGACGGACGTGAGGGTTACAGCCTCTGCACATGGAGCGCACTATCAGACAGATTTGAGATATTGTCATTGTTTTTAATTCAAATGAATGCAACTGATGAAAAGATTACAATCATATTTAAGTAGTAGTTTATTTTCAGTCCCTGTCCCTGGTAAGGTTCTGAGATCAGGGTTAGAAAGTTTAAAGAACGCTGCAAAGTTAAAGTGCAGCACAATATGTCACAGTATGATGGATTTTACTCATTTGCCTTATGAATTTTTTTATTTTTAAATAGAATTTAAGCACATTTTGAGCATGGCACAACTGCAATTTTCATCTATGAATTAACTTTTCTTTTTCTTGATTCATTGAAGTCGAAGTTGAAAACTATCACATCAAAGATTCTCAACTTCTAAGATTCGACGACAACAAAATAAAATAAAAAACACCACATATGCTGCTTGTTTCCAAATCGCTGCTGTGGTAGATTCCACAAATGAACTTTCAGCTCGTAAATTCGCTGCAGCAGCAGTTGAGTGAGGATGCAGCAGCTGCCTGTGACTCACCCTTTATGCAGCAGCTCCAGTTTGAGACCTTTCGACGTCACCACCCTCCTGAAGCCGCGGTGGTTACGGTTGATTGACAGGGTGAAGCTTTGGTTGTATTCTGGGTGAAAGAGATCATGGATAATAAGAATGAGAGAAGCTGCATTCTGAGACCGGACATAAAGAGTTTATAAGACACATACATCATTGATATTTGATTATTCTTCAGCATTTTTCTTCAAGTCAACTTCATTATTAACCTTCAATGGGATTTATTTTGAAAGTTTTAGAGTTTTTAGCTGCTGATGAAAACAATCTGAAATGAACTACAACAGCAAACAAACCATCAGTTACATGACAGAGTTTTTCTCAATAGTAATTTCTGATGCCTGAAACAGCTGCCATGTGGTAGGTGTCAGATGAGGTCATCACCAGCACGCTGTGAAAACAGCCTTTGTTTACCACAAAAAAGATCATCAATGAGTGATACCACTCATAAAAGACAGCATGATGAGATTTTCTTTTTTAGGACTACATAACTTACTCATGTACATGAAGGATCAGCAAAGAACTAAGAACTACTTCTCTGAAAATTGACACATCCTGAAAGTTTCCCACGGTTTTATTGTTATAGTTTTATTTAAGAGGACAAACTAATCTGTTTATATTTTTTGATCATCGATACCTTATGATTTGCAGATTTTGTGCAATATAAATGTTGTGTTTATTTGCATTCTGTTCAGGTTTGGAGGTGTTTTTTGATAGTTTTTATTTATTGTTTCAAGTGGAAGCAGCTGAATGTTTGGCCCAGACAAATTTCCCAGACAAATTTCCCCAAGGGGACGATAAAGTGTCTTGTATTGTATCGTATCTCACATACACTATCCTCCTAATTTTCAAAGGCATTTACATTCTCCTTTGAAATGATGTATTTTGAATCCTCACTTTAGCAGTACTGTTATTAAGAATAAAAATTAAAAATGCTTTGTTGGATCAGATTCTAAATATATTGTTGCTTTGAATTATTTGGAAATTCATAAAAACAGTATGGTTCTAATTTAGTAAATGACCTTAAATACAAAAGAGTAAAAATAAGTGAAACATAATACCTGAAGATATTTTAAATATGATGGTAGATAACTTCTGTACTCGCTTAAAAACATTAAATAAGTCCAGGAAAACACTTCTTTTTTTTAAATCAAAAGCAGTGTATAAATGTAATGAAGTCAAGAAACTAAAAGATCTTCTGGTCCACAAACACCAACGCTAATGATATGAAAGCATTACACACACATAAATCCACAAAGATCAAGTCTCACCTGGAGAGTTTGTGTTCTTGATGACAGAAGTTTTGTTTCTTTGCGGTTGCTCCTAAAAAAAACAAAAAAGAAAACAGACCATTAACAAATAAAGTCACTTGAACGAAAACATGTCAGGAGTCTGAGGAGGATGTGAGGTTAAATAGAAGCTTCAGTTTGTTACCGTGCTGGGGTAGGGGAAGTCAAACTTCACGTAGGCATCAAGGTCGTTGGTTTGGATCCCTGAAGGAGAAAGAAGCATCAACACGTTGAATTAGACTCGTTTGTTTTTAAAGCTTCTACATGATAACGTTTTTGTAAAACTTATTCACGAGGTCTAAATAGCTTAAACATCAACATAAAGCTGACACACATTAGGACATGTTTTAAAGATATTTTTAGTACAACTTAAAAACAGAAAAGGTCACAAAATGTATTTTGCTCACACCCTTCAGACTTATTTGACAGCATGTATAACGACTGTTACTGAATATTTTATTTGTTACCATTGGGAGCAGGAAGGTTCATCCCTTTGATGATAACAACGACCATGTCAGTGCTGCTCAGCTCTGGGAATATCCTACAGAAGACAGGGTGGACAGGATTAGAATAGGACTGACTTGTTGCTTTAACATTTAATTAATGATAACTTCAATATATCCAGATATAAAGTCTTTCTGATTCTTTTTCCAACACTATTTGATATAATCACCACTACCTTTATATTCTAATATTAAATTTACCTTCACACCTCAACTTCAACCAAAAATACTTATGTTCTTTTTCATTCTTGTAGAATTTGAAGCAGATCTGTATTATTGTTTAGAAGGAAGACCTCTCGACTGAGCCAGCTTTAAGTTGTGTAAGTGAACCTAATGAAGTAGCCTTTGAGTATTTAATAAAGCATCATTTTCATGATCTCCAAGTCTGTACTTGTTTTACACGTTTAGAACTGACAAATGAGAAACAAAAGAAGGCTTCAGTTAACTGTAAACATTAAAGTATGACTTGTGTTCACCTGACGGTGTGAAACGATCTCTCCTCAAAGTGATGTTTAGGAGGAGAAAGACCTCTCGACTGAGCCAGCTTCAGGACCTCCAGACTCCTCTTACAGCCCGCCGCCATCTTCTCAAACCTGGAGCACAAGCATCATATACGAGACACTTTCAAAAGCTGCGCTGCTTTATTTCAACGTCGTGTAATAAAACAACACATGTACGGATTCTTGATAAAATAATGATTTGTCATTTGTAACATTTATAGACTGATGGGAGGAACAGTTGTATTTAATGGATAATCCATTTCATCCAACAGATAAACATGTTTACTGCAGAGAGGACTCATTTTAGAGATGGTGCATAAAGTGTTGTTTCACAGGAAGCTTACTTTGTTGTTTCTGCCACGTTCCCCAGGTGAGTGAACTGCTTTGAGTGGGTCATACATTTCTAAAAGGAAGGAAGTCAGAAGAAACCTCAAACATCTCAAAAAGCATGTTTGTGTTTTGTGTTCACAGCGACAAAAAACAACTAAAACAGAGAAAGCAAACTAGTGGGAAAAGAAACACAAAGACCGTTTTCATCTGAATTATTTTTAGAACTTTTTTTGAACATTTAAAGTTAAAGAAAAGATCTGAATGTGACCCGAGCAAAAAGTTAATGGAGCTCCAACATTTTTTTTGCTTTAATTTAAAAATACTGTCCTTAAAGTCAAGTTTCAGATTTAAGAGTTGTGTTGTTATAGATGCAAACTATTGCAATGCATGTCTTATAGTCATCGAGAAATTCTTCTTCTGTCCTCATGGTGAAGTTTTACCTCGTACTGCTCCTTCAGGATGTTGACCAGCTGTGTGTAGACCTGCTCTGCTTTCTCCGAGATCTGCACGTCGCTGTGATGTACCAGGATGAAGTCTTCGTCTTCGTCAGCAGGGGGCGACGGCACCTACAGGCACAGAGAGAGTCACATAAAAGCTTTGGATTGCAAACAATTCCCCTCTTTATTCATGAGAAATAAAGAGAACACGTGTCCCCTTTTCATGTGATTGTAAAACAAAACAAGTTTAAACATATAAAAAATGATCATGGACTTCAAAAAAAAAAAAGCTTGTAAAAGCTTGTACGTGTCCCGTCTCCTCACCTTGCTGATGTCCACAGATTTACCGCTGCGCGTTGCCTCGATCATGGGGTCGAAGCCTTTAGCGGTACGGAGGAAGATCTTCGCCTGCTCCATCTCGTTCTTCTGCTTGGCCTGCAGAGCCGCCTTCATGTACTGCTTCTTCCTGCCCTCCAGGAACTCCAGCTGTTGAACCGCTGGAGACGAGAAAGAAAATCCAAAGTTAACCGAGTGCACACAAGTAGAGTGAGCAGAGATGTGAATAGTTCTGTCACGCTACTTAGTTAACAAACACATTCCCGTGCTGCTGCCTGACAGATCTGGATGCTCATTGATGACTACAATAGAAGGGAATCCAACACTGCAGTCCTGAAACCTGTTTGATCAAAATCTTCTTGATTTAAACTAATTAATTCTTACATGTGTCTCGTTTCCAGACACACACAGGTCTTACTTGGCTTGTAATTTTACCCGAACAAGTGATAAAGTGAATGCCACTGCCATGTTCAAAATGACAAATGTCTCCTCCGGATAAGAGCACAGACGTTCTAATGATGTATTAACACAAACTAGAATGAACATTCAAAGTGATCGTCTCCTCTGTTTCAGGAGAAATATTTGTGCGCTGTTCTATTTCAGAAATCGTGATCACACCATCCGTGAATCATTCTGCTAAAGCGCTCTAATATCCATGTATCCATGACCCCCCCTGAAGGCACCAGCATGTTTTGGTGCTCAGTCTAAATGTAGAGTTTTTGTGGGTCTGTAAACATGTGCTGCAATATGAGACAAATTGGATCACTTAAATATCTTTTCTCTTCACATAATGTACATAATCTTCTGTAAGATGCTCTGCTGGTCTTAGTGTTTGTTTTTTAGAGACTGACCTGTAAGTGAGAGTCCTTCTCTGGTTGAAGTTCTGTCAGGGGAAGGGGATGGGGTCCTTTTTTTTCCTTGACCTGCAGTTGGGATGTCTAATGTGGGCTTCTTTGGTGCCACTTGAGGAGCTGGCTTAGACTGCAATACACACAAAACATTGTGTCAACAACTTGTCAACAAAAAAAATGAATCAAGAACAACTTAATACTTTGGTGAAAGCTCACCTCCTCCTCCTTCTCGTCGTCGTCTTCTTCTTCGTTTGCTAATTCAGTAGCATCTGTTGAGGCTAGCTTATCTGCTGCCTGTAGAGCAGCGATGAATCCCTGTTCTACTCCCGTCGCCTTCTGACCCGGGATCGGAGGAAACCCTGAAAGAAAAAAAAAGACAATATTAACTCAGACTTGTAAAAAAAAGTTCTCGAACATTAAGGTCTTCATTTTCTCTTTTGGTCAAGTATTAAAAACAGGTCTTGTGACAGAAACTCGCTGACAGAACACACAAAGAATCAAGAATCACATTTTGAATACACCTTAACTTTTTACATTTAAACAAAGCACACTGTTGACTCATTAAAATAATCACAAAAGTATCTCACCAGGGGGAACAGGCAGCTCCTCAAAGTTGACAGCTTTCCCTGCTTTGTGAGCTCGGATGGCGCTCTGGTATTGCTGAAGAAAAGTTCAATACGTTTAACACTGCAGAAATAAAACTGTTTTCATGGAGTAGAAAGAGAAAGATGTGTCGTGTTTATCTTATTTTTTAGAAAGGTGTAATATATGTTTTGTTGTGTAGAGGGGAAAACAGACATCAGGAGGCGAGTGTCTTCTTGTACCTTAGCGATGCGGTCGTGCATTCGAGCCTTGCGGTCGTCTCCACTGGCTTTGGCCTCACTGGACGCCTCGGCGTACTTGGCTCGTCTCTGCTCCAGAGCCTCCAGCACGTCTTTGGGCACTGCTGGAGCTGATGGGGGGGCAGAGACTGAGGGAGAACATGTTTAATGTGTCAAGGACTTTCTCATTCGGTTTTTCTATTTCATGTCCAATAACAAAGATACAAAACAGCTTTCTTCAGGGTGTGAAGAAGAAGGCTTGTGCCACTACGTGTGGGTTGTTACATAGCTCAATAATTCTTTCTTTTTACTTTTTCCAGAAGAGTGCCTTGGTTTTTTTCACCTTAAATCAAGAAGAATTTGACAGAGGAATAGATAATAGATAAGGGTGTTGTTTTTCTCCTTTTTAGGAAAAGCAGCTTCGTTATGTTTCACTTTTACGCTGCTACATCCTTAAAGGGACAGGAAGCCATTGTTATGAAACTAATGGTATGAGTTTCTCTATTTTCATTAGTCCCTTTTCACCCATGTGTGCCTGCAACTTTATGATTCATCTACCTTTGCCCTCCAATGAGGAATCCCTAAAGTTGATCTAATCTTTTCTTATCATTGATTATCAGACATGTAAACATTTTTAGGAAAACGTTGTTGTATTATTGACTCGTCAAAAAGAATGACAGATCATGGCAGAAATACAAGCGAATACCAAGGCTTAACACACGTTGACAATATTACTACCTGGAGCTGCTGTAACCGGTTTAGTGACTTCTATATCTGACACGGAGGGGGGGCTTTTCACAGGAGTAGAACCCCCGCCTGTACCTACAACACCAAAACACACAATGAACGACAACATATTGAAGCCCAGACTGCAAGTTTCTGTCATAATACTGACTTAAGTACTAAAAGAATACAGGAAAATATGTCAGCTTTGCTTTCCAGAAGACCCTTTTTATAAGAATTAGATAAATCAAGACTGTTTTTCCCCAACAACTATAAATCAAAAGTTTGTTTTCTTCTCTCTCTTTTATATTTCCCAATTTTCCAAATCCAACTATAAACCCACTCGTAACTCCTGACATGATTCTATGTTGAAAGAGTGTCCAGATAACTCTTTCTGTAGATCAATAAGATCTATCTCAATCAGTCTTATTCTGTCTTTTGTCTTAAAAGAGAAATAAAGAGTTTGTCTGCTGTTTTTGCTTACTAAAATAAAACCAGTTACCCCATCGTACTTACCGTCTTCAGGAGAAGGAGGAAGGCAACTTAGGTCGACAGCTTGTCCGCTCTCCAACGCCACGATCACAGCATCAAACCTCTGCATCAAAAAAAAACACAAAAAGCCCAAACATAATGATGGTCTTTGTCAGCTTCCACATTGTTGGCATGATTCAAATACTCCAGCGAGGAATACCGCAGTGAGAATATGTAGCAAAAAGTCTGCAACAATACTGTAACGTCTCTGTTAGCATTTTAAATAAATAAATAAATAAATAATCCAAGAGAATATCATATTTGGTTTACTATTATTGCAGAGGTCTAGTGATGAAAAAAGGCTAGGACAGATTAGAGACTCCAATTGTGAACAGTGACAAGAAAGAAATAATCCAACAGAAAAGTCCTGCATGTTAGGAAAAAGCTGCTGCTGCTACATTTCTACAGCAGGAACTCGCTCTGCTTCACTCTGTGTTTTTAAAATATAATGGTGATTTATCCTGGTGATGTATTTATGTCAAGAATTGTATCCGTCTTGTGTGTTTTAGTCAATACAAAGCATCCAATGCATCTGTCAAATAAAATGGAAACTATGCTTAAAAGATCATTTTGGTTTTGATTTAGTATTATCTCTCATTATTTACAGTAAATAAAAAGTGAATGCACTCAACAGAGAAAAGACGAACGTATGCAGAGCAGCGCAGCAGATACAAACAGGCCTGGACTTAAACAAATCTTTTGAGTCGGGACATATTTACTCACCTTGCTGGTCTTGAAGTGAAGCTTAGCTTGCTCCACGTCTCCTTGCTTCTTGGCTCTCAGAGCGGCCATCTTGTACTCTTTCTGCCTCTCCAAAAGCATCCTCTTGGTTTCCTCATTTGCTGCAGATTCACAGGTCAGAAACACAGAACAGTGAAAGGTCACATTCATCACATGTTTAGACGCTAGAGGACAGCCACGTTGACTCTACAATCTAACACATCTGTCACTGAAAAAAAAATTATTTGGTTAATAACCAAATCATGTTTGGAAAGAAATATCAGGAAACATGGAATTACAACTTGATGTCTGATACAACGTGTTAGAATACGTGATGGGAAAACGATTTTAAGACAGGTGTGTAGGAGCGCAATGTGTCCATCAAAAACTTGAAGGTAGGCTCCTGCACACTCTCTAATTTTCAGTACTAGACCTTCATCAGGCTGGTTTGTACCTGAAACGTTGTCAATAAATGTTTGTGAAAGTGAAACAGTGAAAGGGAGTTCACCTTAACCCCAACCTTTTGCTGTTTCTAGAGCCAACATCAGACCACATGGTCTAAACATAAGAGGGCCTAAAACTTACCTTACCTTAGTTACTGTTGCATTTTAGGGCCATATTTTGAAACCTACTGTTTTAGTTTTTGAAAATACAGACAGCTTGCACCACACAACAGAGGAGCTGACAAGATTTTGGGTCAGATTTGGTTTTGCTCAGTACAGGAGTCCTAAACAGACAGGCATACACATACTTTATTTACTCCATTTTACCAAATGACGAGTATTTTTTGTTGTTTTCTCAAGATCTGATCTCAACAATTAATTGCTCTCATATGCTGACATAACAAAGCTTGTTTTCTCATGATAATGGGATTTTTTCCAGGTGATCATAATATTGATGTCTCAAAGCGTAGTCTCCCACCATCACTACCTCTGATGGTGGATAAGAAGCGGAGAGATTCCCCCTCCGTGTGTGTCACATTGCAGATGAGGAGTAACAGGGGGGTAAACTTCTGCCTTCAACTGGCAATATGTAAGCAACATGTGTTTGTTTTGTACTTTTGAGACTTTGGGGATACGAGATAAAGAAAAAAGAGCAGATCTAGAGAAAACAACTGAAAATGACTCCTTTTCACAGGAAACGGAATAAAAATGTGTGAATGTCTTCTTAGGGCTTACAAGGTTCTGACGTGATAAATGCTACACTGTTTATAATTCTATCACTTAAACTTTTTCATAATCATTGAATCATTTTGTATATTCCAACTCTCACTGACCATCGGTGAGAGGTTGTCTTGTGGGTTCCTCTGTCGGCTCCTCTGGAGACGGGGCACTGCTCAGAGTAGGCAGCGTGCTGGAGGAGGACTTCTCCTCTTCACTGCCAGGAGTGACAACCTCCGACTTCTCCTGCTGATCTGACGGCGTGGACTCACGCCGGGAGGGCACAGGGGGAGGAAGTCGTTGGGGGACAGCAGGACGGGAGGGCTCAGTCGGGGCTCCAGTGGCAACAGGAGGAGGGATCTCTGCCTCGTTCACTGCTCTCCCTTTTTTCACAGCAGCTACCATTGACTGCAGAGTCTGTGGAGATAAAATCAACAGTGTGTTTAAAAAAGTAAAGTTCTAGAAGGCCTGTAGGTTTTTGTGTTCAAACGACACTCATGGATATAATGACAAAAGACCAAAACAAATTCCAAATAAAGATTATCTGTTAAAGTATCAAAAAACACACTAATGTGTCTCTTTGAACATTATTCAAAATGGTCAGATGATATAGGCTCAAACTTCATTTTTTATTGAGCTGACATCTTCAAGCTTTTTACCGGGCTCCCCACTTGAAGCACCGTAGCCTGAGTACATGGGGCCCGACATAACCGCTAGTCCATCTGCGCCTTCTACCTCAGCGGTTTTATCTAAGTTCTTACAGAAAGTCAATACCATTTTCTACATATATGAACATTTGTACTACTTTCCTGTATCTAGGGTTCTTAAGCTGTTATTAAAGGCTTTATTCAAGGTCAGTGAATCATTAATACTTCAATCATAAAGGATTATTTTTAATACATTTACAAGTTCAGCTTCTGAAATACGAAAAGTCCCCTTCACTGGTAAGACTGTTCAACCACTTTCTTCTAGGAAAAGGAATGCAGATAATCCATTAAAACCACTATAATACAATAATAAAACATAATCCATTCTAAGCCTGAGAATATATCCTTTGCGTTACTTTCACTCACCTTCAGGCCGCGATCGTATCTGCGGACTTTGGAGGTCTCCCCTGCAGCTTTGGCGTTTTCTGACGCAGTCTTGTACATGGTTAACCGCTCCTCCAGAGTGTGCTGGAGGGTGCCGGGCGCTGCAGTCGGGACTTTTACTTCCTTCTGCTGCACCAAAAACAACAGGTAGGTACTGTCAGTAATAAGCTAATCATTCTGAATAAATATTGACAGACTGGACCTCATGTTGACTTTTCTACCAGTCGTTAAGTTAACTATTACCTGGAGATTCTGGAGGTGTATATAACATAAGCCACTAGAGAGATATATGTATTGTACCTGTGACTCTGGGGACTCTGCTGTTTCAGCTTGAGGAGACTCAGCAGTAGCAGAAGACGTGACAGCATCCTCAGCCTCGCAATCCCCGTCACCCTCACCCACCACTTCCTGCAGCTCTGCCTGATGGGGGTAAAAAATAACAACAACTGATCAACAGCCAGATATGATTACTCAAAACACAAAGCTTTCTGTTTCTGTTGTTTTCTCTTGGGAGGTTTGGTAAAAGATGCGGTTGTCTAACAAAAACTAGTTTGATTTGAAGCACCTTCTATATGATCCAAGGTCACTTAGGATCACAGCTTGCAAATAATACAATGAATATAAACATTGTTTAAAGAATTACACAACAGAAGAGAGGTCTAAATGTACCATGGTGTCAAAATTAATACAAATATTCTTCTTTTACTTCTGTTGTTGCAGCACAAAGTAGCTCTGACCTCCCACACAGGGCACTCTGTGATTTCAAACTGTGAAGTGTTATACTCGCATGTCAGAAATGTGACACTTGGGACTTCAGGCTCACGATGAGTTTGTGAATTTAAAAAGACTTTTGAGGACATGGCTGAAAAAGCTCAATCGCAATGCGGCTTTCTTTTTCCGATGGCTGAACTGTTCATTTGTTGGCTAACTGCAGGTCTGTCAAGCCACTTGAAACGATCTTTTTTCATATGAGAGCTGAGGTAAATATACAGAACACTAACCAATAGATCCTCATCATCCTCCAGGTTACCGTCATCTTCATCATCGTCCACGTCTCTCATACACTCATCAGCCATCCTGGCGATGTCTTCCATGGGCAGCGGACCTGCAACACAAACATGATGCCATGTGTCCAGCTTAGTTTGTATGTCAGATTCTCAACATATATCGTAGGTGAAGGTAGTAATAGCATAATCAATACGTTCATTACTGCTTCAACTCAAGTGTCAGAAAACTAGTATAACCAGCTTGAAGAACAATAAGCATGCAGACAAATGTCTTGGTCACGTTGCTGCAGGAGGTTTTTAACACAATAAGACATATCATACTACAGAACATGAAGCACAAGGACACATGTGGATACAATGAATGTGTCTGTGCAGGAGCTGAGCATAATAAAATATCAATGCATCTCCCAAAGGACACTGACTGCCTGAGTGAAACATCATACTTTGTGTGCTGGAATAACAAAAGAAACATTTGAAGGAGCAGATAACTGCAGTGGTGTGATGACAGTAACCTACACAGAAAAAAAGGTCTGTAAGAAAATGATTGGTGTAGAAAACCGTCTCTGATACTGGCTGATACAAATATATCTGTATGGGCTTACATGCTGGCTGACAAAAAGAGCAGATCCTGGGCTGATGTGTTTAAAATGTGCATGTAGTACGTGATGTGTCAGCACTGCTCAGGGCAGCCATTTTGCTAGCATGGCAGTGGCAAGAGCTAACACCATGTTCAGCAGCTACTTTCAAATCTGCAAAGTCAGTGTTTCATTGACGGATATTTGCACATATTATGCTTGGAGTTAGCTTTCACTTGTTTCGGTTGTTTTGTTCTGTAGTGGAGAGATAAAATGAATCATGACAATTTTCCTCCTGGGTTTAAAATGTGTAATTCTTGTATGTGGTTTCTGATCATTTAAATAACAGATAACAAAACATTAAATTGATATCTCTGTCTTCATTTTTTTATTTTTTGTTTTAAAAGGTAGGAAAGTATTATCAAAGATTTATTCATGGGGGAACTTTGAATGCCTTTATTGGAGAGACAGGACAGAGGATAGAAATCAGAGAGAGAGTGATTCTACTCTGATTAGAGCTCTCAAGAACTGCCATCAATGTTGTGCTTTACCTTGTGCAATGCCTGTCAGCACCTGTGTGTCCAATCGACTCAAAGCTGATCGTTTGCTCTTACTGATATCGTTCCCTTTTTTCTAGATCCTTGCTTGTGTTGTACTTACTCTTGATGTACGTCGCTTTGGAGAAAAACGTCTGCTAAGTGAATTGTAGAATTGTAGAGAGTGTGACATGACTGATGCAAAGAAGGGCCACAAGTCGGATTCAAACCACGGGCTAGCCTGCTTACAGGACTGTAGCCTGTACATGGGGTATGCAAACTAACCACTAGGTCGGCAGCGCCCCAGGAAAGCATTATCAATTCAATTCAAAAAACCTTATTTGTCCCCGGGGGGAATTCATATTACCTGATGTTGCCCCACACACAGGTAAAGAATAAAGCTTAAAGGGCTTAACAAACAGTTTTTTAAGACAAACTGTCAGATCAGTTCTCGGTATCATCAGAGGCCAAAGGCATCAAGTTCAGCACCAGTAGAGATAAAGTTAGAATGAATCTGTGCATCCCTATAATATATAACAGCTGAGTACAGAAATGTTTCAAATCTCACGCAAATTTTTCATGTGTTAACTCTCCCTCTGATACATTTCTTGATCATAACAAATCATAAATTACATTTTTTTTAAGGTAAATTTGTGAAAAATGTGAATTTATATAAAGAGGTAGATAAATATGATAAATGTTAATATTTCACTTTTAAATATCAGTATAAATGTCAGACTCTAGGAGACAAAAGAAGAATAAGACCATATGCACTGACAGGCTCTAAACTTCATGCTTCACTTGCACTCACTCTTTCCTTTGTGCTTGGCTCTCCCTCCAGCTTGATTTCCAGTGATAGCAGCGAGTTCAGCCTCCAGGTCTGGGTCGTCCAGATCCCCCTCCATGCCCATCATCATCTCCTCGGGGTCTACAAACAGACCCATCTGAAACCAGGAAGTAAAAAAAAAAACACACATGTGACAGCTGCTTCCACAAGGGTGTTGATCAAAACATAAACCTAAATGTGAGTGTTACCTGCTTCGCTGCAGCAGCACCCTGGCCTCTGGGCTGCGGTGCTCTCTTCTTTTTACCAAACATGTTGTTGTTGTTGTTGTTGTTGTTGTTGCTTCTTGTTACAAGCTCCTCGGGTAATCTCTAGTGATCCAAACCACAAACACATGAAGAAAACGTCTGTCCTGTTGTGTAATGTCGTGTGTGTGTGGTGGCAGTAGTTGAAATCATGTGAGCGGTTGTCAGGTGGCTCCCAAACAGACAAGTGAGGGTAATGATAGCCGAATGCTAGCTGTTAGCTAACTGTGTTTTTCTTAACTCTAACTAAAAAGTTTGTTTATAAGTAATAAAACGAGTGTTGCTGTCACTGAGAGCGACTACAAGGGAGGGTTTTATCTAGCTTTGAGAGTGTGTGTGCCTTTACCTGCTCGGTCACCACTTCATCAGGTACTTTTCAGGGGAACAGTTTCATTTCTGCGGTTTGACATGGTAATGGATTTGTTAGAGTGCGCATGCGCGAAGCGAGGGAGTCCTCAACGGCGGGAGTTTATCCCCGAGTAATGTCTGCCAGGCCGCCCTGACTCCATTTTAATAAGTAAATACAAATATATTATTATAAGCCATTACTGCCAAATAGAATAAAGATATGCAAAAAGAAATATGAAATGCTTTATAATTCTCGTTAGGGATTTTACAAACGGTCATGTTTGTCAATTGCATGGGAACAAGAGATAAATCTTTGCAATAACAATTTTAACATGTAGTAATTTAGTCAGCACCGCAAAAAACTGTGGAAAAAACTACTGTGGAAATGTAGGTTAGAGGCAGTCAGCCTGACAGACTATAACCAGGGCATATTTCCCAAATTTTGAAGTATATAAATTAAACACAGATCAACTAAGCCGCTTAAATGTTTTATCCCCTTAATCCTGTGAACTATCCTCATTTAGCCAATAGGGGAGGAAAAAGGTGCAGAGACTTCTTTTCAAACTAAAAATATTTATTCAATAACATATACAGAACATGACAGTTAAATGAATAATAACAGGTTATACACCATCCATTAAATCAATCCACATCATTAGGTTATGTCTTAAACTCCAATAAAGTCAGTTTAAACCTAACGTTTAGTGCAAACAAAAGCTTATCTGGATTAGTCTAAGGTTTATACTGCATAGCAAAGAAATTAAAGTGTAAAACTATAATTGTTTATGTAACTGTAAATGACTTGTGGTGTAATATTACAAATCCCTGTGGTTGCTGCTGAGCAGCTTTGGGAATGATGTGCCGATGGATCTCCCGTGCCTATAGACAACCAGCTCCAGCACGTACTCGTCCACTTTCACCACCACGGACGTCATCTTCTCAGTTGACATGAGGAAGATGATGGTGAAGAGGGCTACCTCAAACTCTGGGCTGACACCAATGAAGGAGCCGCCAACCGGCTTCACCAAACCTTTCCAACTGAACTGCAGGTTCAGCACATGGTCATCTTCATCAGGCTATAAAATAATGAAAAAACATGCTCATTAAATAACTTTTTAATGATAACCAAAATTATCTTAACTATACAGTACTTTCATCACGGCAAAATCGAGTAAAACTTAAATAAAATGTGTTGAGGAAGACCATTTGTGGAGTTCAGTATCTACATAATGCATATGACTCCATATTTTCTTACCGAATCTTTTTTGTCTCTTGCTTTGTATCCTTTGTAGTCAACATGGTTGTGTTTTTCCTGCAGGTAAAACTGGATCCAGTTGTGAAGACCCATGATCTCATGGTTGTACTTGGTTTCTCCCACAAACACGTGTTCAAACCCACAAGAATCCTCACTACAAACACAACAACACTCTGTTAAAAGCAACACTTGAACATTAATATCAAACTTAAACCATCATTTCATTTTTGAATTGTTTTTGGGCTTCAGCCTTTATTTTGATAGGACAATTAACAGAATAGGAAATCAGGAGAGAGAGAAAGAGAGGGAGTAATGACATGCGACACAACACTACAGTAGCAATAAGTGTTTTTTTAATATATCATATACCTATCAACATTGAAGTTAAAGCCTACTATTCAGACATATTATGAAAGTTAAAAAAAAAAAAGATCTTTATGGTAGCTTGGCAGAGAAAAGTCAGGTATAACTATAAGCGTGGGAAGCAGCTGTCCATCTACATTTGGTGACATCAAGAGACTGGACAAACTCATTAAGAAGGCCTGCTCTGTGACAGGCTGCAAGCTGGACTTTGTAGTGGTGACAGAGAGGAGGACTCTTAACAAACTGTTATCCATTATGGATAATCCTGAGCACCCTCTGCACCACCTACTAGACAAACAGTGGAGCAGCTTCTCTAACAGACTGATACAACTCCGCTGTCACAAGGACAGATACAGGAAATCTCTCCTACCGTAGGCCATAACCCTTTACAACAGAGAACTGTCATCATGATCATCTCTGTCTTTTTCATATTGTAATCTCTTCTGTTTATGTAAAGTTTACAAATTATCCCCTACTTCCTACTTACTTTATTATTATACTGTTTTATTTGCTCTGATAACACCACAATTTCCCAGTTTGGGATCAAAAAAGTTAATCTATCTATATCAAATATACAGTATACATATATGATTCCCTTTTCTTAGTCCAATTAGGACAAGAGTAGCTGCAGCATAAAACACAGATTATACTGAACAAAACAGGGTTGTGAGATTTTTTTACTACAATATATTTTAGATTCCTTAAAGATTCTTTATGGGGGAAATCGGCCCATCTCCACATCGGTGGATTCAGACGTCCAGAGACCAGTCCTCTAGACTCCCCTCAGGTTACTCTGGAGATGAATAAACGGGAGCTGTTTATCTCAAAACATTACAGTAGCCCCCTCTGCTGTTAGTCTGAAGCTCACCCTCCGCTCCTGTCCCTGTGGTAGAGGCGGAACCAGATGTTATACAGCTGTTTCTTGAACTGTGCAGGGTTTGATGGGGACTGCCTCTTCCCGACCAGATACTCATGAGCACACTATAAATCCAAAGAAATCAATAGCAAATTAACATTTTAAATGAAAAATGTTATCACATAATTGTATAGCAGAACAAAGCATAAAGAAAGATGTTGGGCTAAAACAATATTTCATTTGAGAGTGAAAGTTTCAGTCTTGGAAAAAAAACTTGTTGAAATTTGTGACAATTCACATGGCCTTTTAAAAAACTTGAAATTAGTCCAAGTGTGTCCCTGAAGCTGTTAAGATAATGTAAAGTAGAAGTCTCATTATGATAGAGTTTTATCTTTCTGTTTTAATGTATTATTGTCAAAGGAGACACAAAGTATTACTACAAGTGTTTATGACAACCTCTGTCAACACTCTGGCTCTTGAATTGCATTATTATAACATCCTAACACGATATTATCACCAGTAACAGACAGGTAACATGCAACCTTGCATCAGTAAATAACGGCTGATATTCTAGGAGTTGACCTTTTCTTTAGCCTCAAACCTTTCTTAAACTCATCAGTACACAAACGCTTGAAAGTCTGTCAACATCTCAGGAGGAAAGCAGGAGTGTAAACAGCTGCTGTGTAGGATCTGTTTGTGTTTGACACATCTCCCTCTACTGCACCTTCATGACCTCGGTCTCCATCATAGAGTCAATGAAGAGTCTGTTCTCTTGCAGCTCCTCTGATGTTACCGTCTCTGAAACACCTGTGGATACCTCGTAGTTGTCCAGCAAGTTGACAAAGTCTGCAGCACAAATATTCTTGTTTAGTGTGTAGGACGTATTCATGGGGGAAAGAAGAGTTGTTAAGCAACGGGACTTACGAGCATATGTCTCGATACTCTTGAGTTTTTCTTCGTTGACGTATGAGAAAAGCGGAGCCCGTGCTTTGTCTCTGGCATAGTTGCTGCCCTGAGCCACATAACCCGCCCTCCCCTTGTTAAAACAGATACAAAAAAAACAACACAGACTTTAGGCAAAAAAGACAAAGTGTTTACTGGCAATTTCTTTCACAAATTGTAGATCTTCCACATCTGTGGTTCACTATTATTGTAACATAAAGGAACACAAAATGAGGAAACACACACTGAAACTAAGCAGATTGTGTAATGCAGTCAGAGTAGTTGATGGTGTATGATACAGATATACATTTTTTGATAAAGTAGTTTCATTCAAAAAGCGTTCTATCAGTCTTCTGCATTTGGGTCCTTTCCCTTTTTTTCTCAAACCCTGCACATACAGCAATAACAATACATGTATTGTTGCCAAAACCTAGTTGATTATTACACTATAGGATATGGAGGCTTCATGTTTTGCATTTATATCTGACTGACCGTTCTGCATTTCAGAGGAGCATTTCAATGGTGGCAGATTAAAATTGCTCACCTGGAGGTTAATGATGTAATCACTCCCTGGTTTGAAACGGTTGGTGTCCAGGCGCCAGAGTTGGTTGAGAAGCTCAGTGAGCTCGCGGTCTGCCTTTTGACTGTGAAATAACAGAAGTAAAGAAACACGTTCAACATATTGAGTCTGTTTCTGACATTTAAATACTGACATTGAAATATTCTAAAAGCTGATAAAAGACTTCTAATATGTTTTTTGTTTCTATTCTTCAGAGAGCGAATCCAGAAACAGTGGGCCCTTTGCGCAGAAGACTGTTTGTGGGAAAGCACAGCTGTTTCTTGTAACATTCCCAAAGAGCTCTGTTGTTTTCAAACATTCCAGTAAATAATGATAGTGTGAAAGTCAGGAACTAGAGTACAAAGACTCTGGCAGATGAATAATCCAAAATCAATTTAATAATTTGCCTTTGTTGCTGTGACGTGCCTCATGTGACATAAATCTATTTCTTGAGTTAAAAGGTTCAGAGATTGGGGCACTGGTTGGCCTAGTGGTTAAGTTGTACCTCATATACAGGGGCTATAGACATCCAAGCAGGTGACCAGACTTCCTTTAGACATGTCATTCCTACTCTATTCAACGTCCTACCAAACAAATTCATAAAAAGGCCCAAAATGAATCTTTGGATTTGGAGTTTGGAGGAGCTGCATTTGTTGTCAGATATATTAATCCATCAGTTGAACAAACTTAATGTGCAACTGTTCCATTGAGGAAACCTCCAACTCAACAGGGTTTCTTTTTTATGAGAATGTGTTCCACTCACTTGGATAAAATTCATTTGCTGTAAGTTGCTTTAGTGTATCAAAACCAAACCATCCTGGGGGTCAGTGCATAACAGATGGTATACCTGTTCCAAGCTGCATTTTCAACATGTTACTAATTAAAGATGTCCAATTCTTGCGTAAAAATGTAGGGGGGGATGCATATGTTGGTCTTGATTAATTGACTGCACTTCCCTAAAGTTGTGATTTTCATGCTGAACTATGAAAAAACAGCCCAAAACTTGACAGTGTTGCAATCTTCTGACATGGGAAAGTCAAATCACCTAGAAAAGTTTCAATTCATAAATTTGTTTGTTTTTTATCGAGTCTTGTCTGAACCTGCACAGCAACTCTAATGAAATGTTTTTTTTCCCTGTGATCTTTGGTCAGAGCACAATTGAGGAGAACAGAAATGACAAACCACTTGGTTCTATATTTTCATCCCACCTGCATCATTTAGTGTCAACTGCATAGCTCTAAATAAGAGTTGATGACATGGGGACAAAAAAGGGTCAACTTTCCAAATGCTTGTTTGTTGTCCAAACAAATGTGCTGCAAGGTATACAGGTTGGTAGGTTGTTTTCTTCTAGTTAAAACCTTTAAATCTGCTCAATATATCACTCTTTCTCTTCATTGTGATCAAAAAGTGTCATTGAATATACAAAAATTTCTAATAGCCTAACTGCTGCGCCCTTCCTGTCATAAAAGCACACAGCAGATAGTGGGGGGGGGGGGGACGATGAGTAAGAAGCAAATGACAGGAAGAGGCACACACAAAACAGACACTTCTCTGTTCTAGGTTTAGTTAGGGTACAGTTATGAGTTGTTGTGTTGCATAATTAAAATCACTAATCCCTACCAGATCCTCCTCACATCATCACTGACACTAAACAGGTACAGACCAGCTGTAAAAACCTGCTATCTTCACTGAAAACAGCAGTTGCTCGACATTACATAAACAAGAACCCAAACAAGTATCGTGTTACCATGCAGCGAATGTTTACAACAAACATGTCTTTCTTAAATGGAAACAACGTAGCCTATCAGAAGTGTCCAAAGGTGTCTCAAAACATGCAATTAACAGGAACTGAAGTAAAACTTGTAGAAAACTATTTCTCATGTTTCCACTCAATTTCTAAGCAAGACAATTAGGCCTACCTTCTTGACATGGTTCCGTTTAGTGGAAAACTTACTCTTCACATCCTCTAACAAAACTACCGCTGCTTGTGCACTCTTATCTGAAGCATCAATCATGACGTGTTAAAGAAAGACAGCCAATCAGAATACAGGGAATCGGCTGCACCCCTCCTCTTCGTCATTGAAAGGGAGGATCTCATACTGTGGTTGTATTAATAATCTACAATGGGCTGGCTTAAGTGAGGGGTTAGGATCACAAGGTTTTTATAACTGGCATGATTTAAAATACAGATTTACCTTTGTCACAACAGACAAGCACGAATGATGCGATATAAATATGTCTATGGTGCAGGTGCACCTCCTGCACCAGCACCAGGTTCCTGCCCAAACTCCTGCTCAGGTGGAGAGCCAAACACAAGATCCACAGGGGCATGCAGTCCGAGCATCAGGGGTGCTCTGTTGACTCTTTGTATATCACCTTCAGTAGGGAGCAAAACATTTATTCTCTTACTCCTTCTCCGTGGTAGTCTTCTTCTCTTTGGTGAAAAGTTACCTCCTAATTTGTATTTAAGATAAAGATAAGATAAGATATACTTTATTCATCCCAGCAGGGAAATGTAGGTGTTCCAGCAGCCAGCATACATACAAACACACAACACAACACATATATACATACAAAACACACAACACAACACATATATACATACAAACACACAACACAACACATATATACATACAAACACACAACACAACACATATATACATACAAACACACAACACAACACATACATACATACAAACACACAACACAACACATATATACATACAAACACACAACACAACACATATATACATACAAACACACAACACAACACATATATACATACAAACACACAACACAACACATACATACATACAAACACACAACACAACACATATATACATACAAACACACAACACAACACATATATACATACAAACACACAACACATATATACATACAAACACACAACACATATATACATACAAACACACAACACAACACATATATACATACAAACACACAACACATATATACATACAAACACACAACACATACATACATACAAACACACAACACAACACATATATACATACAAACACACAACACAACACATATATCGACGGTCTGCCTCCCCCCAACCCCTTGCTCCCTATCCCTCTTTCTGCATCTTATCCCATCTCTCCCCCTATCCCTTTCCAACCCCGGCGCAGTCTGGGCCTGTGAAGGCTGTTTCGTCATGAGCCGGGGATCCGGCCGAAGATTTCTGCCTTTTAATAAGGCAGTTTTTTCTTACCACTGTAACTTTTGCTGCTTTGCTAAAAGTGCTCATGATGGATAGGCCGGTCTTTGTAATATAGCAATAAGTAAGGTCTTTTACCTGCTTTTTATAACATAACAATGAGTAAGATCTTTTTACCTGCTCTTTTGTAACATAACAATAAGTAAGATCTTTTTACCTGCTCTTTTGTAATGTTAACAGACAAAGAGTAAGGTATTTTACCTGCTTTTTGTAAAGTGTCTTGAGATAACACTTGTTATGAGTTGACGCTATACAGAATAAATTGAATTGAATGAAACTGAATATATACATACATATCCCACCCATACAAAAAAAATATGAGCCCACAATACAGTTTGATATATGAATATATTTCATCAAGTGCTGCACTCTGGTAAGAAAGAGAAGAAGATCTGTACAGTTTTCCACCATCTTACATCTGCTTAACTCATTTGATTTATCAGATGCAGTTAGTTAGCACTGGCTTTATTTTGAAATCACTATCAGCAAAATGTAAGGAAGTGGACATTTCGCGCAGGCGCAGTGTGTCCCCACGTTGTTTTGAAGTTGCAAGTGGGGTTGCTAAAGAAAAAATAGTTAAAAGGTATTTCCAGAACAGACTAAACGAGCTGTGCTTTGTTGGGTTTCTCTGTATGTATTTTGTCTGTCTTTTGTTGGCGTTGTAGTAGCTGTCGCGAACAATAACTGTCACATTTGAAGACAAAAGTTTTTACGAAATCTTAACTAGCTTGCTAGCTTAGCCCCACGTAGCTTCAAGCATGGCAGCCGTACTGGAGCTGATAGCTGGGAGCTACGAGCAGGTCACAGTTGGTTACCGAGTGAACACAGATGAGAAAGTAAGTATTTGTAGCTTATTCTGAATATGTGCATACGTGAAACCGATGTGTGTTTTTTTTTTATCTCTTGTATTGGTCATTACAAACTCCTGAGAGGTCACTGGGATTGATTGGTGGCTCTACAGGTCAATAATAACCAGTACCTAAAGTTATTGTGTGATAATATATATCTTTATACACATCTATACACATCTATATACACTTTCATGGCAAAGAGTATAATTTCTTGTTGTATTAGCCTGTTGTGATTTTTCTCTGGAACCATTTACCCTCAGATATTTAATTTCAATAACTTCTTAAATTTCAGATTATTTTTTGTTTTTTTTTGTTTTTGTTTATGCAGGAGTGGACAGCAGCGGCAGATTTCACACACCACGCCCACACAGCGTCCATATCAGCTGTTGCAGCAAGTGAGAGGTTTGTAGTCACGGGAAGCAAAGATGAGACCATACAGCTTTACGACATGAAAAAGAGAGTTGAACACGGAGCTTTGCTGCAACATGACGGTGAGTGTCTTCAGCAGATCTTCTGTTTGGACGCCATCATGTTGCAGACACAAGACTTTTTCAACTGTTTGTCACACAGGTACCGTCACCTGCCTGGAGTTTTACGGGACGTCGCATTTGCTGAGCGGAGGAGAGGATGGACTCGTCTGTGTGTGGAGCACGAAGAAATGGGAGTGTCTGAAATCCATCAAGGCTCACAAGTAAGCATATACCAAGTAGATTTGCTGAGATGGTCGGATCTGTGGGGTTTTTTTTGTATTTATTTATTTTTTTCGGATGAGATGATTCACAATAATTTCTTGTTCAACTTGTTGTCCCTCAGAGGCCACGTCAATTCACTATCTGTCCATCCTTCTGGGAAACTTGCACTCACAGTTGGGACAGATAAGACACTCAGGTACATTTTACCACTCCAAGTGAAAGTCTATCATAATTCATTTAAGAAAAACATTAAACAACTGTTCTATCTTTTATTTATTTTTTTATCTTTTTAGAACATGGAATCTAATTGATGGAAGATCAGCATTTATCAAAAACATAAAACAAAGTAAGACCACTCCTGGTTTGTGAAGTTGATAAGTGGACTGTTGTGTGGAGCAATATACATTCAGTGTATTGACAATGACTGGGTGTTTGTCTTCTTTGTACATTTTACAGATGCACACATTGTCAGATGGTCTCCAGATGGGGATAAATATGTGGTTGTTGTAAATGATCAAATGGACATCTATGACCTGCAGACCGCCTCGGTGACGGGAACAATCAAAAACCCAAAGAGGATCTCATCCATTAAGTTCTTAAATGTGAGTTCTTTCACTATGAATGATAACGTTTCAATTATCATCATATTTATGTGTGAGTTAGAGATGATTTAATGAAATGATAGGTGTCTGCTTTTCATTAAGACATGACAGTAATGAGCTGCACAAGTATAACAAACTTATACTTTAAATAGATGTTGTAACATGTTTTTCAGAACTCCATCCTGGTCGTAGCAGGAGACGATGAAATTGTGAGATTGTGTGACACGGGAAAAGAGAAATGGGTGTGTGAGTTTAAGGCTCATGAAACCAGGTACATCAAAAGAGTTTTTTTTTTTCTTCACTGATCCAGCACCATGTGTGTCTTAAAGTGTTCTGTGTGCAGATGTTATCAACATGTATTTGGAGCTGCATTTCTCTGCCAATCTTTCTTTATCTTTTCCTTGAATGTAATGCTGTGAAACATATTTATATATTTCAATTTGTTTAAAAATTCTGTCAAAGTTTTAATTTTCAGACAAAAAAGGTGATTAAAACCTAAATCCCTTTGTGATTCCAGAGTCAAATCTGTGGACAGTTTCATGATGGAGGACTACTGTGTGGTGGTGACAGCTTCAAACGATGGATTCATCAAAATGTGGAAACTCTATCTCAAAGAGGCATGACTCTGGTTTTGATTTACATTTAAGTGTCAATTTACCTGTAACTTAAAACCATTTCCTCAAAGTTTGCATCTTCAGCAATAGTGTATTTTTTGTTTTCTTAGTGATAGTACCGTAAAGAAAACTTGTGAATGAAACAAAAAGTAAAATATTCAAATATGAAGTCTTCTGTTACAAAAATAAAGTTACATTAACAAGTGATTTTCACTTTAAAACAAAGCTAAGCAAGATGATACTGTTAAGACATGCAGAGCTGCTGTTGATGTAACAATGTCCCTCAACAGGAGCTGGAGTCTCCCACTCTCTTGGGGGAAGTGAACACAACAGCCAGACTGACGTGCCTCGCTGTGTGGAAGCCTTCATCAGTGCAGCAGACCACAGAGGAACCAGCAGCTGGGGCAACATCATCCAAAGGTAGTTGTCCTGAAAACGCTGACTTTACATAATGTTCATCATGTTGTAAATATAAGATATACTGGTGCTGGCAGTGCATATGCTGATAGGGATACTCTGTAGGAGGTGCAGCTAGTCTCATTAGAGTCAAATACATATATACATGCTTTGCTTTTTACTATCTGTGTCAATGCAGTTGTTGTTTCTCTGTCCACAGAACTCGCTCAGGAGCTGGCAAAGATGAAGAGAGTCCGTATTGCAACAGAAGAAGTCATATTAGAAGATGAGAGCAAACCGAAAAAGAAGAAAAAAGATGTGGAAAATAAGATTTCAAATAATAAATAGGCTTTATGATTATTCATGGACTGTTTTACGTCTTGACCTGTTTGTCACATGTCTTTGCCACAGTGAGGTGATAAAGTACAGCTTTGAATTGGCAATATTATGTATATATTTGTTGTTGATGCTGAGGAGAGAAAATGAGAGGCAACAATAAAACATGTTTTCTTATCTATGGACTGTGCATTCTTTTTATTCTTTATGTTAGTATTCAATACAACTTCAATGCTTGTGCCATGTTGTTTAAACATGCTTTTACTCTTAGTCACCACGGGGAGGTGATAAAGCACAGCTGCTGGCTGTATTTTTTGAAAGTATACTGTATATTTGCTAACTTTATGGCAAGATCGTCATGAGTCAGTAGGTCACATTTTTATTAGCCATTGTTTAAAAAAAAAAAGTTTTAGCTTTTACTACAAAAAAAACAATTTTTATTTAACCATTAACCGAGCTACATGACCCCGGAAGCAAAACATAAAGGCAGCGTTCAGATGTTAGGTGTCCAAACTGGTGGTAGCTGAAATTTGTTGAGAAGTTTAGGTAAAGCATACTTAGTTTTTGTTAATTTCCTCCTATAATTGTGTTATATTTTCATCGTAACTCAATTCGCAGTGCTTTGCCGCTGTCTTCGTTTGAGACAAGTTGAGTTAAATCGCAAAATTCTCATAAAGGCATCTATCAGGAAGTTTCTGGTGTGTGGACATGGCTGTGGATTGGATTGGCTTCATTTATGCTGCACTGGTGTCAACAGGAGGAATCATTGGTTACATGAAAGCAGGTCAGAGAAGACAACAGCAGATGTTACCTCGCTGCTCTTTCCTTGAATTGTTTGAGGAGTTTTAACTTAGTGTTGACATGGCTGGATGATGGTGGCATGGTGTAGTCCAGTCATTATTATGTTATGATGTTTCATTATGTAGGTTACACCTTTGTTGTGACTTTAAACAACAACAAAAAAACTCCTAAAGAGGTGGGAGAATCTTCCATATACTTCATCAAAGTATAGTTCATTACATGTCACAAGGAAATGCTAAAAGAAAAACAAGTGCTTGAGTAAGTATACTTAGTATACTCTTACTTATACCACACTTGTTTGTTCGGAAGTTGATAAATAATATATATTTTTAAATATGCATTGTTTAAGTCCTTGAAGGATAAAAAAACAAGTGCAACTGTATTATTTATACTCCAGATTTTGCAGCTAAGAGACATGATGCCTGCAGCATTTGAGAGTAGTCATTGTTCATTATTTTCTAAGGGAAAAAATCAATAAAGGAAGAGCATATGTTGCTCATTAAATGTAACCCCTTTATCACATTTCTTCCACAGGCAGTGTCACCTCTCTGGCTGCAGGATTCCTGTTTGGCCTGCTGGCTGCTGTAGGTGCTTATCTAATATCTCAAAATCCCAGGAATGTCTGGCTTTCAATAGGTGAGTGACCTTAGTATGTTGCTTCACAAACGTATCACAATGCGATGTGTTTGTGAACACAACACTTGGCAATGTGTTCTTGCGATGAATGTTTTTCTCAACTTTGAAAATGCAGGCACCTCGGGAACTCTGGCTGTGGTGATGGGACTACGGTTTTTAAACTCTGGGAAGTTCATGCCTGCTGGTTTTATGACTTTGGCAAGGTAATACAACAAGTGTGTTTCATTCTCAGCTTTCTGGATCACACTGAACTCTGCTTTCAAAAACTGAGACAAACAAAAGTAAACACATGTACTTTTGGGGACTTTTTAACTGTATCCTAAAATAAATGTTGTCTTTTTGTTTTCAGTGGACTGATGCTGTTAAGGATCATCTTGATGCTAAAGAGACCACATCAATCTTAAACATATGTAATATGAACATCTTCTGTATCCATGCATTTATTTTTTTTACATAAAAAACTATTTGTACTCTCATATTCTGTACATCTAAACATGAGCTCTTTGTGATTTTTGATTAGTTTTGATCTGTTTAAAATTTGTAATATAAAATAACAGGTATTTGAAAAATATCTGAAACACAAAAGTTTTAAAGAAAAAAACAAAGAAAAATATTTTAAAAAGTATTTAAAATACGTTTTTTTACAGTAAGTTGGTTTTAGTTTGTTACTTTGTATCAGTTGATTGAAAATACAAAAATAAGTTTAATTTTCTAGTCTTCTATTTAAAAAAAAATACTGACTTGCACAACTCTGAACAATATTTAATCCCATGGTAACAGCAGTCCAGAGAGGATCACTTTTGCAAACTGTTGGCAGCTTCTCCTCTGAGGGGTGTTTTCCTGTTGAAGTGCACTGAGATTTTTTCCCATGAGTCACTGGTGGAGCAGAGTGAAATGCTCTGCTACTGGTGACCACCGTATTTGGTGCTCCAGTCTACTCGTCCGTGCACAGGCTGGACGTTTGTACTCCTTGAAAAGGTTTTCTTCCCTGTAGCACTGGATCCGAGGATCTGAGGATTTCTGATCCTCCACCCTTGGTATTCTGGGAAAATCAGCATGAGGGAGAAATGCAACATTTAACTCAGACGGTGACAAGAAGCAGAATTTTCAGTGCTCATACTAAGAATCTTTTTACCTTCATATGAGGGGAACTGTTTATCTGAGGAGGGCTTGCTCTTCAGTGGTTTGATTTTAGACTGGACTCTGAGATCAGCAGCGGATGACAGATCAACTTAAAGTTCACAAAAAGAAAGAAGGTGACTATTTAGCTTGAAAGATGCAACATGGTTGAGAGAGACGAATAGTTTAGTTTAATGAGGTAACATTTTTATCATGCAGAAGCTTATATCTTTAATTTGACAGTGAATTCTCTCTAACTCCAGGAGGTGCTGTGCTAAAGTTTAATGGAAGCAGAAGAGTGTCTGATCGAACACAAAGAGTTTCATGTGCTGTCTGACCCCTGCATCTTCACCATTATTCTGTTAAGAAAAAGAAAAACTCACTGGCAGAGGAGCCTGTCATCCTCTGTTTCACTGTCCCTGTTTCAGTCCTCTGCAGAGGTAACACGTATGTCCTGGCTGGCTTGTTGGTGATGCTCATACATGAGTCTAGAATGGGGAATGAAATCAATCAATAGTTAAAACTTGAATTGAAGTTAAAAAAAAATCTGAGGCAGACTTCTTTCTACTCGAAGTCCCAGATTCATTTTTGGTATAATTTTTCCTCTGGCTGCCTTTTGCTTTATGGCGCTGTGGACTTAACAGTAGTGATGTAATTATCTGCCCCACTCACTAAATTAAACACTTAAGGTATTCATTTGACTGAATGTAAGATTTTTCTAGCCCACACATGGCAAACATATTTAGACAAATCAACAAGAATCCACAAAAACTTTTTTTTTAAAGATTTATTTTTGGGCTTTTCGTGCCTTTAATGCAGAGAGAGGACAGTGGATAGAGTTGGAAACCAGGGAGAGAGAGAGGGGAGTGACATGTGGAAAGGGGCCTACCGCTTGAGATGAGTCTCAATGCATGGGACGCGCGCCCTAACAATTGCGCCACCAGTACACCCCAAGAGTCCACAAAAACTTTACATAAATATTACAAAATGCTCAGTGACTCTATCACTAAATAGACAGTAAACATATCCAGAAACCCGCCCTCACCTGCTTCTCAAAAGCATGACACATAAACCTTTCTTCTTACATGTTTTCTTGACAGGTCTTCCTTACCTTTACTTAGAGGGAACTCCAGACCCTGTCCTCTGGTTAAGCTCCAGCTGTCCCACAGCAACTTTCTGGTGACCACCTGGCTTTCTGTTGAGGAGTTTTTTGTCGGGTGTACACCTGTAAAGGACAAAAAGGCTCAGAGGGAACTCGCTGTATGTGAGCTAACTCACAAGTTTCATTGAAACTGATAGAACTAGATTCAGCTTCAGCACCTACAACATGTGGAAAGTACAGTATATAAACGAATACATTTATATGTGCCAAAACATCTATTGCACCAAACTTGTATATCAAGGTATCAGAGAAACAACTATAAGCAACTCTAATTCACTATGTTGGTATAAAAGAACATTGAAATAAAATGCCTTTTTGGTGTTTTCTTCTTCTTAGCCTTTTTGTGTCATGAGTGTTTTTTTTTGGATGTTTTCAGCTTACATGTGCAACATATAGCGTGAAGAAAAGTAACATTAACACTCCTAAAGGTACAGGAACTTAAAGGTTTTGCTGAGAGCTTTTAATGATGCTCTTCATGAGTTCCTCACCAGGCAGATATCTGGACTGGTTTAGGTAGTGCTGCTTGGCCGACAAGGTGGAGGAGTCTCTTCTTTTCAGCCCACTGCTGAAAAGACAAAAATTTAAGAGATTATTTTCTTTTTAGAAATGTTGATGAACCCATCTTTTACATAGAAAAACAGAAAGGTCTAACCAAGGCCCATCCAGTTCTCTTTCCTCCTGAGAGTCGATGGTGGTTTTTTTGGAGAGGGAAACCCCGGCGTCTGTATCCTCACTGCCGTATAGACCGGTGACGGACTTGAAAGACGTCTCACCCCATCTTCTGCGTCCTGCCCTCACTCCAGTCGAGCTGTTCTCTGCTTCTGTGCGGGTCGCTCTTGTAGGCTTTAAAAGCAACATAAAAAGAAGAAAACGTTCTGTAAGCCCCCAAAAAGATCTTGTTCTGTTATATCAAAGCTTTACCTGTGTGAAACCTACAGATTGCCAGTTCATTGGTTGTCTGTTTGTCACCAGGCTGAGAGGTTCCTGCTGCCCCACTGTCAACATGGTGGAACACATTGCTGGTGTTGGCTCAATGTTGTCCTGAGGCAGAGGGATCTGCTGAAGAGACTGACTGCACATCTGCATCTCTGCATGAGTCCTACTTGCCTCAATGGACTCTAGGTCTGACTTACAGAAGGACAGAGGCTTTGTCTCTGGAGCCGCCTCAAAGATCTTCTTCTGAGCCGTGAGCTGCTCAGAGTACTTCAGAGGAGCACAGAGCGTCTGGCCCACATGGAAGTATGGATACCGTAAAGCCTTGAGCACAAACAAATGCATCTTTTTAGCTCATGTTCAAGCTCATGATTCAAATGTTCCACAAACAAGATTCTTGTAATATGACATGAAACAACATAGTAATAATCTGAGAAATATACAAGCAACACAACATATTTCTTAGAACTAAAGAGGTAAAAACATGTGTCTCAGAGTTTAAGGCATACATTGAAATGAATGAATAAATATGTGGAAACAGTGTGCACCATTCCCCTTTCCCCCCTCATCGGCATTAGTGAAAAAGCGTTCATAATGAGATGCTGTCTCTCTAAACTTTGAATGAAATGAATGGATGTGTATTTTTGATTTGGCGGTAAATTACAGCCAGTTTCGGCTGACTGATTCTCTCTTGGGACACTTTGCAAACAGGTTTGCAAGCTGCTTTAATTTTCAAACATAAGTCAGTTGTTTTTGTTCTGATCTTTGCACGTTTTGTGTTTGTTCCAACCAAACTTTCATCAAACATAATGGGTTTAAAGGTACCTGTGCAGCACTTGGCCTTCTCTCAGGGTCCCACTGCAGCATGTCTCTCATCAGCATGATCGCTTCGTCGCCGGCGGTAGGGATCAGGGATCTGAGGCTGGTGGGCATACACTTTGGAAAGCGGAAGTTCAGCGAGGCAGCCAAGTTGTAGCCCTCAAGCCAGTCCGACTGATGTGGTAAAGAAATAATACAATTTATTGTAGAATAAATAAAGTGTTAAAAACAATCCAGAATATCACAAAAAACTTTAAGACAAAGGACAAGAAGTGTAATTAAACAAGTTAGATGTTAGCATGACAGAATGGCATACAAGCATAAGTAAGAGGGTGTCACATATATTTAAGGTACTCTATACTATTAGTTAAGGTTGACAAAATGTTTTAAAAAGACATAATACTGGGATTATAATAATCAATAGTATCAAAGCGTACTGAGGCTTAAAAAAAAACTTTAGATATTCAGTCTACACAAAAGCTGTAAATGCTAGAGCAGTCTAAATTACGCAAATTCATTGCCAACATTTTGGTACTCAGATGTTGGCAACTTATTTTTGCAGTTTTGACTGTGCAGGAGTTTGCTTGATGTTGTTATCAAAAACAAGAAATTACCAAATACTGGGTGCCTAGGAATTCTATTTTTGTTTCTGTTGTATTGAAACAGATATGTATATCATTTGATTTTTACTGGAATCATATTGAGGTTGAACAACGCTGGTAATGGACAACCCTACTATAAATTCTGTTGTAATGGTAATGCTTCACCTTCTTCAGTGTTCCCAGCACCTGGCAGATCTTGAAGATTTCCTCCACCTCGCTGTTGCCAGGGAACAGGGGTCTGAGTGTGTAGAGCTCCGCCATGATGCATCCCACGGCCCAGATGTCGATGGGTGAGCTGTAGGAGTTAGACTTCAGCAGAATCTCTGGGGCTCTATACCTTTAAAACAATAAGGCAGTATATTAATGGCACATTTACATAAAAAGATTTGTATGTACCTGTACAATATTTAACAGAAAAAGGAGCTATACAGACCAATCCAATTTCTTATACCAGGCTGAGTAATGTTTATTTCTGCTTTATAAATGGGCATTTTAATATGAACTCTAAAGATGGTTTCTTTCTGGTTTTTGGTGTCCTCCTCAAGTGGGCATTCAAGGAGCTGCGGTTATTTGCACTTCCAAATTGGCTACATTTTCAACGCCAAACTTTTTTCTTTTTTTTTTTTTACAAAAACACAGACATTCACATATTTTTGATAAATTGATTGATTGAGTTTGTGAGTACATTTTTAATTCAAGTCAAGTCAAAAGTGGCAGGTAAAAGATGTGTTTTAGTCTAGTAGAAGTAGTAATAAATTCATGTTATTGTATACATAGATGATACTGGCCAACTTGAGCTGCAATTATCTCGAAGTTAGTCATCATCCACCATCTCCTTAACAGATTAACAGAGATCTATTTAAGGTCAAATCTATGGAGCTTCATTCTGAGTAACTAAAACAAAAAGGACTGAGTGTCACAAGCCTGCTCAGACATCACATTGTGTTTCATTACAGGAGTTATTTGTATTGCATTGCTCTGGTATCATTCTGTGAATGAATCAGCATTACCATCTTGTGGACACATATGCAGTGTAAGGGGGCTGCGAGCGAATCTCTCTGGCCAGTCCAAAATCTGCAATCTTTACCAGCTCTGGTCCCATGCAGAGCAAATTCTCAGGTTTCATATCCCGATGAAAATAGCCTGAAAAACACAAGACCGTCACAGGGAACCTGCGCTGATCATGATATCTGTTTATTTATAACATTTGTTTAGACAATTTCTCAGACAAAAGGTTTAACTGTATCTAAGTTTGACTGCTGCTGTCGAGTTAAAACATCTTCGGTAAGAAAAAAAAGATGCTTTAACTTGAAGCACATTCAAGCCTAACTTTAAAAACACATATGGAGAAAGACTGAGTCTCTTACCGTGCTTGTGCACAAATGCTAAGCCAGACAACACTTGGAACAGAATGTTCCTTATTTCATTTTCAGTAAACATCTTATCTTCCCTGGCAGAGGCAAAGTGAAAAGACAAAAAAAAGAAAGAAAGAAAGAAAGAAAGAAAGGGGGATAAAGGAAAATACAGCATGCAAGCAATCATTCCTTAAGGAAGTAGGAATGACACCAGCATTCACAAGAATTGAAAAAGAATGTTTATATATTGTTACCCCTCTTGTAATAGAGGGAAACAGGAGTCTACTCAACAGTCCAGCTTTTGCACAGCCTTTAGGAGTGATGATGTTGTTTTCTTTTATTTATATTAATTTGAACTATTTGTACTGAAACAGTGCAGACAGATTGAGCTGTATTTCAAAAGAAAGACAACAGGGTTGATGTTCCTCACGTCTGAAGTCACCTACCATGTTTATGAATAAAGGACAGTCCCTGTAATATCTGAAATGTCATGTTTCTGACGACTGACTCAGGGAACAACTTGTTTCTGCAAAAGACCGACATATGATGACTCAAACTGACCCAAATAATTCTCACACACACCCAAATGGTAGTAAAAACACACAGCAGAATTACATCACAAAAATAACTTCACACTGCTGGTGACAGGGCCTGTGAAGACATTTGCGAAAGGTGTGTGCTTTACCTTTCTTTCATGAGCTGATAGAGGTTTTCTTTCATATACTCGAAGACAAAGTACAAGTAGCCGTGTTCTCTGATGACCTCCTTCAGTTTAACAACGTTGGCATGGTTTAGCTTCCTCAGCGACTGTTGACAAAATATTTTGGAGACACATTCAATGGAGTCTGTCAAAATCTGTCAAAATCAGCTCATCATGGTTAGTTTTAAGTATATTCCCTCAAACAATTGAAAATGTCTTTGTAATATCATAGTTATCAAGACCACAGAAACACGATCATGGGGAATAATATGAAGGCATCTTGCTTAACTTGGTTTATATATATATATATATATATATATATATATATATATATAATATATTTAAATCTTAATCCAGAGGAATATGGCAACACAAAAAGTGCAGGTTGTTTAAATGATCACACTGCTCAATATGGCAGTCATTTCTGACAAAGTGCTATAATACTTCTCACCTTCACTTCTCTTAGGTTCAAGCACTCTTCCCAAGAATAAAACTTCCTCTTTATCCTTTGAAAATAAAAATGAAAACAGATTATCATGACCATGTATTTCTGTTGACCTAAATCCTTCCCCTCCTGTGATGATTAAGAAGAAGTTATCATTTTCTTTCATCTTCTTCTGGCTTGATTCGTGTAATTCCCTGGTTTATAAGATCAGCCAGGCCAGGCCTATCCCTTGTTTTTGGAAAGGGGACAATAATTGCCCTGTTTTAGCCTCTCTTCACAGAATTCCATTGCCCCCAGGAGTGTTTTATGGTTAGACTGTTTGGTTTTTAGAACTTTGAATAGACTGACCCACAACCATATCACAGACCCCCAAAGCATCAATTACACTGTCTCCAGGTCCCTCAGATCATCTGACATGGTCCTCCCGGCCGCCCCCCTGCTCCAAACAGAAACGTTAACGATGACCGCCATTGAAATGTGAAACACACTCTCCCATCAGATTTTTTCACTCTGTCGACCCCCTGCTCAAAGCCTCTTGTTCCTAACAGGCTGCTTCTGAGCTCTGTTTGTGCTTTTTCCATGTTTTGACTTGTCATTAGTGAATTGTTTGATCTTAAGTGCAGTTTTTCACCTTGTCGCAGCTGCTTTAGAATGTGCTTTATGAAAAGAACACATAAAATAGACAGTAGTACGAAGGGCTTAGTATTTTGATTACACTAAACAACTCACACTGACATTTTTAGAAACGTAAATTGGTATTTAAGATGGATTAACAGGCATGAATATAAAATCTGTACTATATATTTTAAACTGTGGCATAAAATGAAGTAACATACGTTAGTTAGCAAGTTTCAAAAAGATGATTATGGGCTTCGAAATATGTTGCATCGGTGATATACCCGCAATAGTAGTAAAAACAGGAACCTTGGCATTGTTGCAATACTAAGATGTAGTGAAAAGTCTTTCACCAGTTACCTGTTTTCACTGTTTTCTTTCTTTCTTCCCTGCCATTCTTAAAGGTCAACACTATGCAGTTTACTTTCACTCCTTTCTCTGTCATCAGTAGTATCAGCTTGTAACAGTAACAGTGCATGGGGAGCCCCGTGAAACATTTATAATTAATTTCTTGAGACAGATTCTTAAACAGATCATACATTTCCAAATGCAAATACCAAAGTAATAAAAGCAAAAAATATTCGTTAATAGTACTACTTAAAATGATAGTATACTGTAAGTGTCTTTGAAGAAAGCTGTATCTTGTTGATCTCCAAAATCTTGTCATTCCAAGAGTGTATCTAAAAATCTCTGGGTCTAATGATACCAGACACACAAACACAGCATGTCCCTGCCATGTTTATTTGATTCACCACTCACCTCTTTATAGCTACCAGCTCCCCAGTGTCATTGCACTTGCACAGGAGGACGCTGCCGTACGTCCCGTCCCCCAGCTGCTCTAGAGCGGTGTAGCGGTTCATCTTCCACAGAGAGCCCTGTCTGTCCTTCATCTGGGTGTCTTGGCAGTCCAACACAGTTACAGCTACAACGGCTATTTATCCCTCGAAACAACAGAAATAAAACATGAGCATTCAACCTTTACCTTTCCTACTACATTCTTGATGAAGGGTGGATGTTTACGTGGCCAAGGGGTGTGAAAAAGAGAGGCCGGTCTCACCTATTTGAAGCTAAGCCTTGACGGCAGACAGAGGAAGAGTGATCCCTAAGTGAGGGGAAGTAGATTACAGTTGACATGTGATCAGAAACGTCACAAGGAGAGCAGGAAGACATGTTTTAAACTCATCAAGTTCAGATTTTGGAATTGGAATTTAGAATGAATACAGAGACAAATCTGTGTGTTTGTCATTTGTGATGAATTTATGTTTTTTTTTTCCCTATTAAGACCAAAATTCTTGTATCTTTTGAGGGACAGAGGGTTTTACCTGATCTAAAGCTGGTCACACATAGGTGAAGCATTTTTCTAAATGTAACTTTGAGGATGTTTTCCACTTCAAAGTCCCATCCTCACCTACAGAGTCCTCCATAACCTGAATCCCTCCTACCTGTCTGAGCTCCTCCACTGGCATACTCCATACCCACACTCTCAGGTCTGCTGATGCAAACCACCACCCCCCGAAGGACAAACCATCGGTCCTGGGGGGACAGGGCTTTCTCCACTGTCGCTCCCACCCTCTGGAACTCACTCCAGAGGGTGGAGTCACCATGTGGCAGGGAAATACATGTAAAACTTCCCTCTTCAACATTGCCTACAACCACTAACAATCATCCTCCTTCTTTTACATTATATCTTTGCTGTATTGTTTTGTTTTTGTTGTTATTCCTTGAGAGTCTTTGAGTATTTAGAAAAGCTCTATATAAGTCTAATTTATTATTATCATTATTATCATTAAAGAACCATTAACTGGCTATGTGTATTTCCAGTGCTGCAGACAACACTGTGTTAATTATATCACTGAGCTTATTCTTAGTATCCAATTGATCCCTTTAATTTGAGGTCGGACGCAGGAACTGAGAGCAGAGTGTACCTTTGCATAACTTGGCAACTTGGATCAAATTTAGGTCAGCGTGTTTACAATTGACATAAAACAGTGTACTAAACATTAATCCAAAATTGGCAATTCTGAATGATCAGTCCTCATATCTTGTAACATATTTTAATCCTGATTTTTTTTTTTTTTTTAAATGTCCTAAATATGACTATTTATAGGAACAGAGCATAGGCTACTAAACCACCTGTTCTCGTTTCTAAATGTTTTTGATGTAAGAATTATTGAGAAAAACTTGTTTATAACGAATTTAGCCTTTACACCAGCTTTTAAGCGTGCTAGTATTTACAGTCTATGTTTTTAACCATTGCACCACGGTGTCTGATAACTTCATCACAGACTGTAACTTCATTTAACTAGTTTACTGACAACAAGCTAACCTACTAAGGGTACACTTTAAAGCTAGCAAATAAGCTACCATTTCCGGCCTTAATTTTAAACAAACGAAGCAGGAGTTTTTTAAAATAACATATGTAACACTTGAGTAAAGTATATCTACCATAAGAGAGATTTTGGAGGAAGTTTGCGCGGTGAAGCTGCCAACCTAGCAAGTGCGGCCTGCTGTCTCCATGGCAACTAGAGACCTAAAAAAAAGCCATAAAGTAATGTGCTAATAATAAATATATAACATACACTGTGAAAGACCAAAATTTAAAAGGTCACATCTGTACTTATATATTATACATAGAATATATATAGAATAGGCTAGTTATAAAGGGAGGCTGATGGGTTTTAAGTCCCTTCCTTTAAATAAAAAGCAGAAAGAAAGACACCTAGGCCCTTAATTACCCGAGTTGTGGCAACTAAATTAGAAATAATAAGTTGATTTTCTTCTTTATTGGTGCTAATTTATATTTTATAACATTATCCAATGACCAATTTAATATCACATGACATTAGCCTGGGGTTGTTGGGGCCCTAAAGTGTCTTTTAAGTCCAATATTTGAACATAAAGACTACTTAATTAAAATAGAAAACAAACAGGCCTACCCTTAAACTGCATAGGTCTGAGGCGTATCATATTGGATCCAAAGAGTTTTCATTAGTTTAATCAAAATATGTGTCAGAAGCAGCATGCAGAAATGAATGCACTTAGGTAGGCTACCTGAAAAGTTTATGTGGGTCATTCTGGCTCGACGCCACAGGATCTGGGATCTCTGTACAAGGGCTCCATCTAGTGGTTCCCCTTTAGTCCTGCATCTCGTTGTGACAGGCCTCTGTAACACAGGTGAACCCACTTTTTTATCAGTTATTTGACAGGTCAGAAAGGACCTAAATCAGCAAATACTTAGTTCCAGTGACCCCCCCCCCCCCTTAAATATAATAACGTGATTGCTCTAACTACAAGCAATCACAGTGAAGGTGAAGATCCAGTTATTCTTAAATTAGACTATTGGTAGACTAAGTGAGGATTAAATTTACAGCATATTGAATATTTACTAGTTTGTTTATTATTTTCTGTTGAAGCTCCTGAGACCATTCCCTGGGAGGTCCCTGGCCCTAATTGGGACACCAGAGGTTTCCTGCAGATATGAATAGCCTGCAGGGGCACTGGGACTGCTTTGAAGATCAAAATAAGTAATTTTTTGAGTCTCAGGATAATTTATAGATAATTGTGGAAGTGAGGAAACGTTACGCAGTAAAAAAGAAGAACCAAAGTCTCATGTATCTTGAACAAATGAAAGGCCACGAGGCATATGTACATTGGTTTAATCAATTATGCCTAAAATAATTAGCCTACCTATGTATAATCCATTAAAAGGTGGATAAGAAGTTTAGATATCATGTATTGTAGGACTATCAGAAATAAAAGACTATGGTCTGTAGGCTAAAAATAAAACTAATGAGCAGCGTCTTGTTTTCCTGATAATCTAGAGCAGGTTCATTATCTGCAAAGCGTGTCTTTAGACATGCAGGCATGAAATGTGAGGAATGAAAATCATGACCAGCATTCTCGAAATGGCCATACTGTAGTAACATGACGTGCCGTGCATTGCACCTAACAACTGTGCAGTCAGATTGTTGACTGTCTGCGCAGCGGATAGCCGCGCTTTTTTCCTTGGTTGTGCTTTTGGTTACTTACGGTAAGATGGACCCGCAGTGTCCACTAAAGGATCAGGTGATCCACTAACTACGAAGCGAAGGCTGACTGGGGAAAATGCAAAATGACATATAGCAAATGTCGGAGCATAATTCATTCACATTTTCGGCTCACATTTGGATTTAAATCGCACCGCTGGAGCTCCAATGTGACGATGGCTCGTTAGGGCTGGCGGCGCACTTGCGATTTTTTTGATATTTTAATTTATGAGAAATCACATTCACAGACAAATATTGGTTTCAACATGGGGCTGTGCTACAGTTTGCGTCCCCGGCTCTTCGGGGACCGGAGCGGGTCTATCTCCAACGCTACCTCGGACTCGGACCAGCCTCCGGACGCCGCCGTGCCGACCCGCGCTGGGGGAGCTCGCCAGGAGGACACCGGGGGATGCGGGGAGACTTCGTCGCTACGCGGCGGCGGCGGCGGCGGCGGCCCGGTGCGCCCCGGGGACCCTGCCAGGCTCCCGGCCGGAGAGCACCGCCGTGGAGACACCGGTACAGACGGTGTGCTCATACAAAACGGTGGTGGCGGCGGCGGCGGAGGAGGTAGTGGTAAGGGGACAGGGAAGGACCGTGGTCGACGCTTACAGCTGCTTCAAAAGACTAGCACCCAAAAGCAGAAAAACTGGGACAAATTGCTGGTGGAGGAGAAGGAGGCCGAGAAGGAGGCGAAGAAAGTCAGTAAGAATATTGACAGGACGCTGAAGGAGCTCAAACGGGAGTACAAACAGACGCATCGGCTGCTGCTACTCGGTAGGTTTTGTCGCTCTCTGTTGTTGTTGTTGGACCAGGAAGCCGTTTTATTATTAGAAATGAAAAACGTACTGGCCTTTCCAGAAATTATGTCACTACTCTGCCGAGGCCTTTTGCCACATCTGCTGGCTTGGCTGTGAAGAATACCCCCTGCGGCTGTCAATGACAAATGATGAAGATGGACGTATGTACTCACAGGGCCTGCTGTCATTTTATTGTTACTGTTGGGGTTATGAGCAATTCAAAGAAGTCAATTTATATAGATATAGCAGTCTTATCAAAAACACCTATTAATGCACAGGTTTACATAGACTGCTCAGCCATAGGATATTGGGCTATGTTTACTCTTAAAGTAGTATCTCCTAAAACAGTAGGAGCATACAGTAGCTTGCATTACAGGGACAGACAACGGGAGAAAAGAGCCCTTTTACTTACTAAGGCATGTTGAGTAATTTAGAGGCCATAGAGTGTGTATAGTGTTTAAGAGACATAGTATGGTACATTTTGAATGTTTCTGTACAGGGACCTTAGAATTAAGTAGAATATTGCCTAGTGTACTGGCAAGTAGTACACTTTAGTTGAGTGTTACAGTGTAAAGGAAATACAAGTTATGATATATGGAGAGCGCGTCTAAGGCAATGTTTGTTCTGAAAACCAACATAGTTTAATCTTGCACAGCATAGAGGTGTAGCCTATAGATGAGTGTGGCACACGTTCATGAGACAGCAGATGACAGTGTTACGAGTATAGTGTAGTGGAGTGGCCTGTGGTGTAATGTAACATCTGTTTAGGGACTACAGATTAATAATAGACTGCTGAATAACTGTGTCACATTTACAGTTACGTATTTACAGTATTATTTAGTATAATGTGTTAAAGTTGACTTTTGAATAATACTGTAGAATGATGTACACTGGACTATAAAGTATTATTTTGTATAGTGACATGTGTTTGTCAGTCATCAGTTCTATAGTGTAGTTAAGTGCTGTATAATGTTATACAGCACTTAACTGTGCCTGTAGTATAGTACAGTTTAATGATATAAAGTGGCCTGTAGTATAGTACAGTTTAATGTTATAAAGTGGCCTGTAGTATAGTACAGTTTAATGTTATAAAGTGGCCTGTAGTATAATACAGTTTAATGTTATAAAGTGGCCTGTAGTATAATACAGTTTAATGTTATAAAGTGGCCTGTAGTATAGTACAGTTTAATGTTATAAAGTGGCCTGTAGTATACATGCCTGTAGTATAGTGCAGTCGACTGTTGTTTGGTGTAATACAGTGGCCTTCAGTATAGTACAGCAAGATGTTGATCATTATAGAAAAAATGCCTACAGTATACCAGAGTTCAGTAGAATATGGTGAAGTGTAGTGGCCAGTAGCAAAACGTAAGTAGTACATTAGCCTCTGGTGTATCACAGCAAATGTTTTATAGTGTTCTATTGTTTAATTACCTTTTAGATGTAGAGAGACCACCTAGCTTTTGGCTATTTGGACATGTCTGCTCTGAAGAATAGTAATATAGCATAGCATAGTACAGTATGACATACGTCTATGGACTAAAGATAAAAAAAAAACATAGTAAGCTTTACAGTAAGCTTCTTCTATTAGCACATTTACAAACCTGAATTTTCAGGAAGTTTCACACTTTGAGGAACTTTTAAATAAGGGCACAGAGGCGTGTAGCATAGTATTATACAATGATGTGTTGTGTAATAGGGGCAAAGTAAAATAAAATAACACCAGGTCATCTTTTGGCTTTTGGTCTGGTGTTGCCCTGATAATTGTACTTTTATAGTAGAGAATAGTTGAGTAGAGTAGTGTTGTATTGGGACATTTGTCCAGGGAAAAGAAGTACAAAATAGTATTTCAGTCATTGTTTACATTTAAAGTAAGGTCTTTGAAAATAAATATTATGGTACAATTTATCTTCTATATTTGTGAACTAGGACATGCTGGGGTTGCAGAGTAGAGCATTTGGCTGGTGTTGTCGTTGGGAAGTGTTATTTATTACAAAGATAATGAATGAAACTCACTCTTTAAATTTAAATGATAATTTTTAGGAAGATCCCAAACACCTTCTAATTGCCACTCTTTTGAAAACTTACGTTAGTTGCATATGAGTTAAACTGAAACTTTTTGTTACATTTATGATATCACCATATCATGCATCAGTTTGGACTTTGGCAGCTTATAATGTGATTTGGTATTTTTTAGAGTTAGTGATCATCATTGCATAACATCTTAACAGATAAAAAGTGACTTTATTAGAGGCCCATATCAGTTGAATAGAGTCCATTTGAATTATCAGGCCAACATCAATCTAAGATCGTACATTTTATTACCTCACAGGAAGCCAATTATTGATAGTTAAACAAACTAAACTTAAAATACACTTATGAAAATCAGAATAGCTTTAATCTGACTTACCTCTAAAGCTTACAGATAAACTGCAGTTGTGATTTATTTATTTTTAGCTTGTAGGTGATGTTATTTTACCACTTATCCTCAAGTTAAAACCTCTTGCAGTAATATTGTGCATTAAGGACAGAGTTTTTAAAAAGGTTCTAATTTTAAAAGAGAAAGTGTTGATCAGAAGTGTCATAATGCTCCGTAATGACATGTACTTTAAAAACAGAACTCATCCACTTTCAGTTTTGACACTCTTATGTCACACTTAATAGTGCCATGTGTGTATTTGCTTTACTTTCAGCGGTCTAATGCTTCGTTACTTTATATAATAAATGGCTAGAAGTTTAATTTCCTGAGCAAACAGCTCTCAGTAGTAATTACACACAGGAAGAAATGGCTCATCCTAATCAAGTCACACAAGGAAGTGTCTTACATTCTTGAGCCACTGCTGAAAGCTCTACAGTACAGAGCGTGTGACCTGTGTGACCTGTGTTACCTGTGTTACTGTGTCATTATGGTTTAGGCGGCTTGCTTCACCACTATAGAATCACAATTATTTTCTGCGCTGTTTGTCCTGGTGCACCCAAGAGCCTCAGCATGAACCACAGACACACTTCTGGTCTTCCTGAAGAGGCCTTCGGGACTTTACACCCCGCAGGTCTCCTGTAGGACTCCTGTTGCACTACAGAGGACTGAGGTGGTTTGTGTTCCTCTGAAAGTGGACACCTTTCAAATAGTGTTGCATTTCAAGGCAACATATGCTGGCTAATCTGGGTCACTTTATGTGTTTGTATTTGCTGCAGGTGTTTAGGGAAATAATGACAGTCCTCAGAAAGTATTGTTTATCCTACACTGGCATCTGGTCTGCTCGCGCTCGAGCTGGATTCCATCAGATTTGATTGATGATATTAGCACTTGAGTCCTGCAGCTTTCCAGTACAACGTAGATGGCTACTTATTCCAAATTCAAGCTTTTTTTTTTGAAAGATATCACAATATATCAAGGTCATCAAAATTGCCAATACTTTTCAATACTACATATTTAAAATATTTAAATCTCTCTGATTGTAATATTCAAAAGTATCAGAAAGTGCCAAAGGTTTAAAAAAAAACAACAACTACAGATCTAAAGTCATATTTTGGACTGAAAGCAATAACAACAGAGCAGATTCTGAGGTTTCTTCTGGTCCTTTTGGTGTCTGGTAAAATTAAAATAGTCTATCTCGCGGAGATTTCATTTATTTTATTTGTCATAATAGCAGAAATGCTTTGGCAAGATGTCATAAAACATTGCCACTGTAACTGTGCAAATCAGACTGTATGAAGAAGTTTGCTTCTAATATTTGGTAATTAAATACAAGGACCTTCTTAATTTTGGGTGCTTAGCAGATATCGATAGCATTAGATTTTTATATATTTCAAGGGTTTTCACAAAACCGGATTTTAAAAAGTTCAATACTATTTCAGCATCCATACCTGGTTCAATACCACAGCAAGCATAACAATTGTTTATTTGTTCTTGTTTTAATGACCCAAAAAATGCAGACACACTGTCTAGATTGTACAAATCTAGACAGTGAGTTTTTTTTTTTAAAGCTTTGGTACAGTTCAATACTTTTTATAATCAAAACAATGGAGATTGTATCGTTTCAAAGCATGCGGCATCAAAGGTCTGACAACCTCATTACTGTACGTGTATTGTGCCAAGTTTAAAATTCGGTCATTTTGACAATAGTACAAAACCTCTGGTAAGACTCAACAGGTAGCACACTTTGAAACATGTTTTATTCGAGGACAATGTAGATATTTCTTTAATAGAGTTCCTTCACACTTTATATTTAAGTGCATGAGCACAGGATCAGGATACAGTGATGGGAACTGGAAGGCTAGTTCCTATTATTTCTTGGAAAGGAAGTCACTTTATTGTTAGGTCTCTTGGATCAGATTCTGTACAGTCCTGCGATAACATCTGTTACAGCTTTTTCTAGATGTCCTTAACTGGCCGTTTCATATCTCGGCCTCATCTTCTTCCATGAGCCTGAACAACAAGCTGCTAACAATGATGACACAGATGAGCAAAGTAGTGAGCCAGGCTAAGCTAATGAATAGCAGGTTTGAAATCACTGCTTCTTAAGTTATGGTTGTTGTTGTTGTTGTTGTTGTTGTTTTTCACCACCTCCTACATGTAAAGGCATATGTTAGAGAAGCTTACCCACAGAGGCCCAGGGTAGAACCTGTTACCTTGTTTGCCCTCCCTTTTGAATACAAGTAGAGTCGGGTGAACTTTGCTTCAGTCTAAATGGGTTTTATAGTTGACCATTGCTGAACTTTGCTACTAAATGCAGCAAGTTTCCAGTTAACATTACAACCATCTCCTGGAGTATGAATTATTGTCGTATTTATGATACTGATAGCAGCCGGGCTGGGATGTGATTCGTCTCAAACGTATCAGCTGAATCAAAGTGAACCATGCCACATCAGAAGGACATTGGACTATGTTTGTTCTCCTGCTCTTGCTTACTTTGTTATGTAAACTTTATCAAGAGCCTCTGTCCCTGAAGAGAGGGCTATAAAGTTCTTCCCAGCTTC